CCTTTGTGTTCAAATCAACTTTCTCTACTTGTGTTAAGTAAAAAGAGGCGGAATAACAACTGCTGCTTGTGAAAAACGTAGACACTGAAGGTCGTCTTTGTGTTCAAGGCTTAAGTGATCATTTATTGTACTAAGTGGTGGTAGTGTAATCCTCCTCCTCCTTAGACTTTAAGGAGAAGAGTGGACGTAGGTTGAGTTTTGACCGAACCACCTCAAATCTCTCTCTTTTATTTATTGCCATTTACTTTTAAGCTTTTAACAAACCAAGCCTAAGCTTTAACAAGACCAAATACGTGTAAATAAATTTTAAAAGGGGGTAAAATAACAAAAGATATGAATAGAACTTGGTTTTTGGGTTTCAGCCGATTTGGAAATAAAGAAATGAACGCATTTTCAATTTGGAAATCGATTTTTATGGATTTTTAAGAAAAACAGAATGTTGGAATGTATACACAATGTGCCAGAAGATGAGCTTAAAAAATATTAAGACTAAATTTGGTAGGGTGCGCCAGGCCAAAGCGGTAGTGCAACACAATGGCGACGCTTGAAAGCTCAGATAGCAAGCTACCTTAATGGGCTTTCCCCCTAAAAAAAATTAAATTAATATCGTGTGAACCATTGGTTCACGTATCAGACATTAAACTGATAAGAACAGATACTACACTTGATCTTAGCCAAAAGGCCGAGAAAGGTATGCCTTAACAAAGCTTCGGCCCAGTCAGGGACGGAGCCAGGACGGAACAATGCGGGGGGCCGAACTACGATTGAAGTACTAAATTAAATACATTGATATCCCGTTAACATATCTCAAAATAATCATTACATTACAAATTCAATAAAATTTAGAATAAATTATTTATAATTGAATCTATATTAAATTATTTTGCAATATGCTTTTCAATGCACATTACTTTGCATTGTACGGTTGAAAGAATGAAAACATTCACGCATGTTTTAAAAGACTATTGATTATTTCTTGAAAAACCCTCTTCACAACATAACATAATAGCAATTGTTTTCTCAAATACATATACTACACAATTGTTACATTATTATGCATTTTAAATTAAATACAAAATTTATCACACAACCACAAATTTACATAATTAATCAAACAAATGCACTTGATATCCATGATTTAGAATCAAACAAAACAATTATTTAAGATAAACAATAGAATATGAAACAAAAATTAACCAAACAAGTAGTTATAAATAAAAATAAAAAATAAAAATTAACTTGAAAAATATGCATAGATTTTGTTAATGACAAATTATCTTATTATAACGTATATGCCGCATATATGCATGGTTCTACGCAGAGAAACTAGTAAGTAGGTTAAATGAAATTTAATTTGAATGTGAGTCAACAATATATGAAATACATAATTTGAAATAAGAGAGAACTGAAAAAGTTGAGAAGATGAAAAAATTAAGATTAATTAAGTGGAGGGGGGCCAAATATTTTGAAAAAACAACAAAATTTTAAAATTCTATATAATATTTTTTTAAAAAAAATTAATACTTATATAATATTAAAAATTTTTGGGGTGGGGGAGGGGGGCCACTTACCTCCGTCCCTGGGCCCAGTCCTTTTATAGCATTTTACTTGCATTCGCTCCCGCTGTTTAAGTGATGTGGGACACTAAACTGCTATCTTGAGTAGCAATAGCCACTCTGCTATCATCTTCTCCATCTCTGTTGTGTTTTAAACTCACAAACTAAACAAAAAATGATGTTATTTGGTGTTTGGAATTTGCAGGCGTTTTGAACCGTTGATCACAGCTTCATAATTATGCCTCGTTCGAAGATCACTGTAGAAATTGTGTCGATGCAGTCAAATCTACCAGGGATTGTCTCCTGGATTTTCTGAACCTGAAAGGGGAATGATATGAGCCTAAATGTTGGGATCTTCCTCAAAGCTTTAACAAGACCAAATATGTGTAAATAAATTTTAAAAGGGGGTAAAAATATTTTTCATTGCGTTATTCTTAAAAAAAAAAATAAAGTGGCTAGGTCACATATACCTTCCCAAATTTGGACCGAATATATCTATCGATGATCCTTGTCGCTAGAAGTGTGGGAGACCTATCGGTGTAAAGATAAGAATCTGCGAAAAGCTAAATCTTTAATCTAGTAAAGAAACTTTAACTTTTGTCACTCTTAAATCTCTTAAGAATTATGTCGTAAAGATATTCGTCTAAAAGGCGAAATACGCCAATAAATCTATAGATGCACCAAATAATCATAATATTGGGGATGCAAAATGACCAGATCTAAATATCTTTGAGACATGATAACAATCTGGTTGATTTAGAAATTGCCATGAATTTTATGAATATCGAGAAATTTGTATAAATATTATTGTTGTCGACAACACAATTGACTTTACAATTGCTCACATTATATGAGAATCTGGATCGTCCAGAGCTAGGCGCTAGAAGCATCCTGACTGGTTAATATATAAAGGAGCAATTAAGGCATAACTCATCTCGCTAAAAATGTATTCTCTTTATAACATGCACACCATTGATTGTTAAGCTTATAGGTTACAAATGAGTGTTTGAATGAAAAAAAATAAATGAGAATAATGAGGTGATGTTATATAAAGCGAGTTTTGTAGCACAAGGGTTCACACAGAGACCTAAAATTGATTTAAATCAAAACACTCTCCCACAATAGATGACATAAAGTTTACATAATATCATTGACAAAAAAAATAAAAATAAAAAAATAGATATGCAGCTAATATTTATTAGAGAAGTCCTTGATAGATTTAAAGTTATTGAAATGAGAGGAGATGGAAATTGCAACATGTATATCGTTGAAATACAAAAGTCTTTATATGACTTAAATAGTTAATGATTAACTGAGTATTTTTCTTTCTGGAAAAGAAATATGCAAATAATATATGTCATTATGAGTTTATTAAAGAGTTGCTAATGGAGTTATTTATTTGATTATTTATTATCTCGGTCTATATTGATGATATAAATACGATTGAAATGTAAAAAAAAAAAAAGTGATGATATTAGCTCATGCCTAAGGATGGAGTTTAAAATGAAAATCTTGGGAAATTCGAGTATTATCTCGACCTGCAGATCTAGTATATCCTTGAAAGAATTTTACATATCAGTTAGCCTACATTGGAAAACGTCTTGAAAATGTTTTATATGGATAAGTATTATTGACTTATCACACTAATGGTTACCCAACCTCTTGAAGTAGATAAGGAATCACTTAGACTTGAAGAAGACAATGAGGATATCTTATGACCAAAAGTCCATTACTTCATTGTCGTTGGAGCATTATTTTAGGATCAAAAGTTCTATAATCGCAATAAGTCTGATATTTGCGATGAAATTGGTAGCAACATTTAGTGTTCCTCATACAATGAAATATTGGAGTAAGGTTCAATGTATCTTCCGGTATCTTCAAGATGCAAAGATTTTGACATTTATGTGATAAACCAATATATGGTTTTGGTGGGCTACTTGGATATCAGCTATTTTATTTGATCCTCATTATGTCAAGTCCCAGACTAGTTATGATTTTTTAACCCACAATGTCCTATATTAGGATAATAAAGTTTGTGTTGCACAATTGATAAATTTATATGCTAAAGAATATTTGACAAAGCATAAAAGAGTCACAAAATTATTATACAAAATATTCGCTCTAGTGACAATCTAGCAGATTTGTTCACAAAATTAATTTGTACACTTATTTTTGGAAAAATATTTTTATCATATTAAAATGTGATGTAGGCTTGGAAGATTATTGTCTTCAGGGAGAGCAATAACCTCTAGGTGTTTTTGATTAATTGGTCCAAAAGGCCCTCGTAATCTTGAAGATTAAGGCCCTGTTTGGTAAAATATTAGCCTATCAGTCAATTTTGACTTATGTGACCACTATTAATTGTTTGACTTGGTTAAAAAATCAACTCTAAAATGTTAAAATTCAAAAAGCTGCTCAAAGCAACATTTTCAATTAGCTTTTTGACAAAAAAATAAAATAAAATTATATCAAACAGTTATCATCTAACAGTTAATTTATCAAACACCTTTCTACATATTATCAACTAGTTATACATTCTAATTAACCCAATCAACTAACAGCTAATAGTCATTTACCAAACAGGGCCTAAGCCTTGAAGGCATATGGTTATACTTGATCTTTTTTCCTTAGTTACGTTTTTCTCATTAGATTTTCTTAGTCTAAGGTTTTAATGAGGCAACCAATGTAACACATGATTATACATACATTATGTACTCTTTTCATTAACTAGGTTTTTCTCACAAGATTTTTCTAGTAAGTTTTTTTTTTAACGAGTCATGATTATAGGAAGATAATACTCAAGGGAAAGTGTTATAATTAATTGAAATATATGACCATTATCTTAGTGGTCTAGTGGTTTCCTAGTTTTCAGATTCTGTATATGTATGAACTATTCAGTTATCAGATGAATAAGAATCCCTCGTGCATTTTTTCAATTCTCTCAATTTTTAGTTCTAATTTTCTTTCTCTTTTCTTTGTTTATCTCGTATTGCAGCACAAGCATTTCACCGAAGAAGATCATAATTCATAACAATTTTAATTAATATTTCCATTAAAAAAATATAGACTCCAACACAGATTCATCCAAAGATAGGTTGGCAAACTCAGGATCCAACATCTTCCATGCTCTAAAATTTGGCACAATTTTTTTTTTTTTTATTTAAATGGTCTAGAAACATGTTTATGGACTCAGAATGTGTTTCCAAACTTTTTCCTAGGAAATGACTCAATTTTTTTTTTTCTTACAATTTTTGGTTTATTAAGAAACAACCCACAACCTTTTTAGAATTTTTGTGCATCATAGAATAAATGAACAAATCTTAGACATAATTATGTTAAACTTGACTTGGATCATTTTAGTGTGCATGGAAGACAAGCTAATTGAAATTAGGGTAACATTATTATTGTTGTATCTTACCATCATGTTACACCACAATTCCTATAAAATCCACAACTTTTTATATATACATTATATCACAATTAATGATAATTCCAATGCTATATTAATGCATTGTGCATATAACAAATAGACTTTTTACAACTACCATGTCATATTTCAACATTTGCCAATGAACATGGTATTAGATTTATAATATGAAAGTAATCCTAGGAAAAATAAACTGTATATGCTGTGAGACCCATCAACAACATTATATATATACATATGCTTTTGCTTAATATTTGCAGCTTCAACTTCTTCTTCTTCTTCTTCTCCTTCTTCTATTACAGTGCATCTATTCACCCTTCTTTCCTGTGGACCTGTGATTCGCAAGCTTCCTATCTAGCGTTCGGAAATTGGTCCACAGCTTTTCAAACAAGAGCTCCATAAAGGAGTCGATTGCTTCATCGTACCTTTCATAAAGCACCGGGAGCGTGTGGGCGCAAACAAAACCTTCAACATTTGACAAGTTAGAAATATGACAAAGTGGATGCATGTAAACATGCATTATAGAGTCACAGATGTTCAAATACGCTCTGAACTTTACCTGAAAAGTTAATTACGTCTCTAAACTTTCTAAAGGTTCAATTAAACCTATCAACATGTTATGTTGGTACATTTAAACCCAAAAACCGGCTAGTGACCTGTAATAATGTCACTATGGTTCCGGCAGCCCTCTGGCCAATTTGGACCCTATTTTTTGACAACAAAGCTACCAACGACCGACGAACTATTGTTGGTCGCCTTCTCACCCAGGGGTGATGTTGAAGTTGGTCGGAGGGTTACCAGAACCCTAGTGGCCTGTTACAAAGATTACAAAGTAATAGGTTTTGTTTCTTACCAATGTATATAACCGTGATAAAGTTGCACCAGCTTCCGACCACAGCAGTAGCCCACAAGCTTCCTACAACCTGGAATGAGTCGCCAAGAACTTCAGTTATTGCTAAAAAGACAACCTCGGCTAATTAGTATTCTCGTTTGATCTATTCTGTTGCCAACAGATTCATCATTTCAAGAAGGCGAAATTAAAACCGTGAATAAAAGTTGGGAATAGAAGAATTGAAACATACAAGTAGGAATTGCTTCATATTCCCACTACAGGCAATGTCTTGAAGGAAGCCCAAACCGCGATTCACCTCACCGCCTAAAGACTTGGCAATGTTGACGAATACGTGGTCAGGTATGGCGAGACGGGGGAGTTTAATTGGGGAGCTGTTGCAAGTGTAAGTAAACTCGTTAAAACTATAAGCTAATGCAGGGCGGGAAATGAGAATAGCGTGGATTGCAAATTGCAAACGTAGTACCTGCTGAACTTTTCTGCAGCGTTTACCCAGAGAAACTGCCCGAGCATAAGCATAACAATGGCAAAGCAAACGAGAGTAAGAAGATGGTAGTTGAGCCACTCGAACAAAAGCCATATGATGGTAGCGCTACCCAAAACGCTGCCCGAGATTGTCTTGTTTCTCCACAGCATTACATCAGCAGCTGCATTCAAGATTTCACAATATATGAGCAGAAATATGGCATGGATTAGGAAACGAATACGTAAATAGCTGTCCCTAGTCCCTACATTTGCCTCCTCCGAGAATATGATGCACTGGATTCTCACGCCCAAACAGTTTATTGTGTTTACCTTTAACTGAATTTTCCAATTCAGGGGAGGATCCCGATGTTAGCTTTGATGCGCCATCAGCAACAATTGAACTCACCATGCTGCGCACCAGGTTGTCGGATATTTTTCCTTCAGGCATCTCTCCTATTTTCAAATGTATAAACAGAGACAACATTCATCAAAAACCAAAACCGGGAACTCACACCATTAGCATCTTGATAGTCCAAGATTTAATTTGTATCAACCTTAGTACAAGACATCATGGGAAACTATATCATCAACAGAAACGGGAAATCGACTGAAATGGTCAAGAAACATGAGGAACAGACCAAAATGAGCAACTTTTAAAACTTCGACCATGTTAGACATTATATGGTAGAAGAATATTTGATATGATCTCAGTATAATATCTTAGGGATAGTGTGTATAATATCTTAGGGATATTATTGATCCTTACCATAGTTAGTGTGCATAGCCTAGTATAAATATGTGTATCCTCTTGACTCAATTGTATGGAATACAGAGATTATAAGGGAAAAACTCGTTTGCGATTTGAGTTTCTCAAAATTTCCAACCACTTGAACTTGGATCTTAAATCAAGTCGAAAGCCTTGTTCCGACCACTTTTGGTATCCGAAAAAACCTTTGTTGCTATTTCCGACCACTTTTTGCTTTCAACTTGATTTAAGATCACTTTCAGGTAGTCGGAAATTCCATAATTTCCAGCCTAGGTGTAATTAAGACAATAATGAAGCAATGGACTTTCCACCTTACATATAACTATTAAAGGGGGCAGCAGATTAAGAAATATACAATGCAGGTAGATAAAAACAAACAAAAGATTAATGCCATAGCCATAAAATTTGGAAAGTGAAAAGGAGTTGGGGAATTTTTACAAACAATATCTTTAAGGGAAAGGATATGAATGAAACAATTCTATAAAATACATAAACAAACAATAAGCAAAACCCAAATTGAAGCACTAAATGCAACTTTCAATCTCTCATTTCCAAGACTCAAAATTTGGAATAATCAAAACCCATTTTATTGGAGAAACAAACACGTCCCATTAGAGAGAAAACTCGATCAAACGCCCCAAATAGGCAAATAACAACCAATGCAGACACAAACTCATAGGCTTTATGAAGAAATGCATAAGTTTGAAGAACCATATATATGCATACAGAGATCACATTAACTGCATTGCGAAACGGGTACATTAAATCAAACGAACCCGGAAAAGCAAAATGGAGGGGCAAGCAGAAACTAACCAGATAAAAAGGGTATTGCAAATTTTTGCTTCGGGTCTGGAGATGAATTTCTGCTTCTTTTGGGGAAAAGAAGGAAGCGCTGAAGGGAAGGGGATTCAATTATTCAAATGATTGATGGGATTTGAGTTTGAGATATCAAATAAAAAGGTAAAACAAGTAGGCATCGTGGGGTCAATGAATCTTTGAATATGCATACCACACATGCATATCAAAATATGCACAAAGATCGCTGCATTCATTTCAATGTCATATTCTCATTCTTGTTCGTTTCATTGTTTGTTTTGGCCTCCGCTAAAAGCTTTGTACGTGGAAATTGTTTCAAAATATTTACTATATTATTTAAGACTAGGAAAAATAGTTGTTTTGTGCCCTTTTTTTTATTTTTTATTTTTTTATTTTTTTATTTTTTTATTTATTTTTATTTTTTTTAACACTTAGGCCCTATTTGGTTCGTGGAAAATAATTGATGGGAAATTGAATTTAATCCATGAAAAAAAATTGCCGAAAAAATTAATTACATTGTTTAGTTGGTGGAAAATAAATTATTGGGAATATCGATTCCATTGTTTGATTGGGCTTGGAATTATAAGGAATAATGAGTATAAAGATAATTATACCCCTACATAATAATAATGGTAATTAAGAAAAGTTGGTGAGGGCATAATTGTCCTACTTATTTTTCATGGAAAACAAAATACCAAAGGGGACCATGGAAAATGTTCACCTTATTTTTGAAGAAAATGTTTTTCATGAATCAAACAAAGGAAAATCTAGTTTTCTTCAAATTCAAGGAAAACAGTTTCCATGAACCAAACATGCTAATTCTTTCCAATGTATTATCTGTTCTATCAGCTCAGGAATCAATGTCCCCAAGTTCGATCTTGTGACAATTCATTTGGGATGATAACAGATGTACCTTTAATTATAAATGAAAAAATTTATAATTTATGTCTTTCACAAATATGCCAATTATCAATTTCACTCTTGAATTATTAGTAGTGTAAATGTTGCTCTTCAATTTTCAAAATGTTACATATATTGCCCCTCTCTGAATTATTAGTGGTGTAAATGTAATCACCCGTCGTCTTCCCGCTTGAAAATCACGTTTTTCCCTTCATTTTTCTTTCTTCGTTTGTTCTCCTTCCACCGACAACAATGTTTATCCTTCTTCCTATTAGGGTAGGGGCAATATATGTCACGTTTTGAAAATTAAGGGACAACATTTACACTATTAATAATTCAGGTGTGACATTGATAATTGACACATGAAAAAATTGTAATTTATGTCTCTTCATAATATGTCAATTATCAATGTCACCCATGAATTATTAGTAGTGTAAATGTTGCCCCTCAATTTTTAAAATGGTACATATAGTGCCTTCCCGTAGTGTAAATGTTGCCTCTCAATTTTCAAAAGAGTTAATACCCAAAATCGTCCTCGACTATAGTGGTTTTTCTCAATTTCGTCCTAAACGACTTTGGTGACGTAATATCGTCCCAGACTTTTGTGTTTCGCTCAATTTAGTCCTCCATTTGTTATTCCGTCAAATTGGTGTTAAATAAAGGGACAATTCAGTAATGTTAATATTGATCTCTCTTTACTTTCAACTTGTGAAGTGCGAAATTCATCTTTCTTGTACGAATTACACCCAGAATTACTCCCGGACCTGCAAATCAAATTTTATATTTGCAGTTTTAGGAGTAATTCTGGGAGTAATTCGTAAAAAAAAAAAAAGATTTCGCAATTCACATGTCTATGAGTAAAGAGATGCCAATATTAAAATTACGAAATTGTCTATTTATTTAACACCAAATGAACAAAATAACAAATGTAGGACTAAATTGAGCAAAAACACAAAAGTCTGGGACTAAATTGAGCGAAACACAAAAGTATGGGACGATATTAGGTCACCAAAGTCGTTTAGGATGAAATTGAGAAAAACCACTATAGTCGAGGACGATTTTGGGTATTAACTCTCTTTCAAAATGGTACATAAATAATTTTTAAAATAAAAATTAAATAAATTAGCAGTCACCAGTGACTTGGCCGGAAATTTGGTTGAAAAATTTAACGACATGACTAAATGTGATACAAATTGAATAGTCATGCACTTATTTTGAAAATGTTAATAGTCAAGAACCAAATGTGATACAAATTGAATAGTCATGTATCTAATTTAAAAATTTTAATAGTCAATGACTAAAATTGATACATGTATTGTAGTTGATGGACTAAAAATAATATTTTCTCTAATTTAGTATTTGTTTTATATTTTTTCAGCTCAGAGAATCAATGTCGCGACCACTCGGGTTCGATGACTTGGCATGAGTGCATGACTTATGCTCACATATCATCTGGAATTGGGCTATGACTTGGCCTGACCTATGCCCACATCCCATGTGGGACTGAGCTATGCTTACTTCGCAGTCGGTCACACCATTATGTAATTGTCGTAATCTTAACCATAGAGTTTTTTGACTATCGGGTTGTCATATCATATTTAAAACCAATTGGTGATTAGTAGGTGTACATTAACTATTTGATTACATCATTTCATGGTAAGTTATAGTGCCAAGTCTCAAATGAACTCGGCCAACCTGGCTTACCACTCATTTGAAAGGGCAATAGATGGTTTTTTTTTTTTTTTTTTTTTTTTTTTTTTTTTTTTTTTTTTTTTTTTTTGTGGAAAGGATAAGTGTGCCTTTAATTATAAATAAATTGTTAAGTTAGTCCTAAATTTGTAGCAAATAGTTTTGATGTAACAAAAACATCAATTTTGACGGTTAAATATTTAAAATTCCTAATTTTAAAGGTCATTTTTCGTAAAGTTTTTAGCATTCTTTTCTATGTATTTAATAATTTAATAATATATGCTCTGTAAAATTTATTTTATTAAGGAGAAAATTGTTTTAAATTTACAAAATTAACCTTAAAAAGTAATGTTCTGAGTATCTATCTATAGTTTTTAGATAATAAAGTAAGGTGTTGTAGGAAGATTTCCATGGGATTAAAGGAATAATACTTTTGGTTAATATACATTATTATGGACATTAAAACATGTGATTTTTTTTTTTTTTTTTTTTGAACCTCTCTTTAAGGGACAAGGCCACTCACGCCAATCAAACTGATTTAAGACATGTAATTATTACTTCTAATAAATCATATTGGTTAGAGTTAATTCCAGCAATGGTCCTCCGACTATATTGATTTTTCAAAATTAATCATCGACTTTTAATTTGGACACTTTACATTCCTTGACTTTCAATTTATTTCCAATTGAGGTCCTTTCGTCAGATTACAGTAAAATGGACTTTAAATGAAAGATTAAAATAGTCATTTCATCTGCCTAATGTATAATTCTTCGTATTTCTTCCTTGTATACGCAACTTCGGGGCCATCGGATTCACTTAATTGCTTAATCCCTAATGAAATTTTGTTCTACGAGTGGATTTAGGGATTAAGCAATTAAGTGAATCTGATGTTCAAAGTCGTGCATACAAAGGAGAAATACGAAGAATTATACATTAGGCAAATGAAATGACTACATTACCCTTTCATTTAAAGTCCAATTTACCGTAATCTAACGAAAGGACCTCAATTGGAAAGAAATTGAAAGTCAAGGAACGTAAAGTGTCCAAATTAAAAGTCGAGGACTAATTTTGAAAAATCAATATAGTCGGAGGACCATTGCTGGAATTAACTCTATTGGTTATTATTAACTTTTAAGCATTTAATACATTTTTTGAGTAATATTAACTCTATTATGGCATCTCAATAAGGGGATTGTACACAAATTCTAAGAAATAATTGTCAAGGTAGAGGAGAGAGGAGAGAGAGGGGAGAGTGCTTCTTGCGAAAATGAGGATTTTGTCATAAATGTGAGTCCATCTCTTTTTTTAGATGACAAGTGTCTAAAAAACTACTCCGTACTTTTTACTTTTTTAATTTCCTTTTTTTATTTTTTTTTGTTTTTATTTTTTATTTTTTATTTCTTCCCATTTTCTCTTTTCTAATCACACAGACAAAAACTCTTCAGAAATCACACCAAAATCCGCACTATTGAGGATGCCCTCAATACACCACTACCAGGATTCGATCATGTGACATTCTCTCAAGGGAAGTCACATAAATACTATCTAAGCACAAAGTACTTGGTACTCAAAAAAAAAAAATAATAAAAAAAGCTTTTAATACATTTTTCACTTCCTCATATTATTATTTATTGATCATCCATTCATCCCTATTCATTCTTCCAAAGGCTGAACCCCAACCCTAAAAACTTGATGGTTCATTCATCCCTATCCATGTTACTTTATTTTGTTGTCGATGACAAGCATTTTTTTTTTCCAATAATCCTATATTTTCCTTCTTAGCATAACTTTCCTTCCTAGTATGAGGTCTTCTTTACCCCCTCCCTACAACACCACTTCTTTCTTTAAAACAATTTGATTCCATCTAGAACTATCAAAATAGACTTAGCTCGCGAGACTAGCCTTCCCCGCATCGCCAAAAAGTCGTGGAATGCTCTAATATTTTAAACCCATATTATAGCGGGTTTTTCGAGCGCACTGCCTAACTCGCGGGCTAAGTGGGGCGGCCCGCTTATTAAAAAAAAAAGGCACAACGCGCAGAGTGAGACGACATAAGACAAGATCAAATTACCTAAAATCCTAAATCAAAAAAATCAATTCTCCTAAGCCGACGCTGCGACTTGCTTGCCTGTGACGCTGCCTGCCTTCACTCTTTTGTCTCTTTGTCGTCTACTCGTTTTCGTTCTTCGCAGCCACTCGCCGAGAGCCCGAGACGCAGCTCAGCGACGCAACCACTCCGATCTCCGACAACCACTCCCAGCGACGCAGTCACTCCGGTCTCTGTCAGCCACTCCCAGCGACGCAATCACTCCGGTCTCCGGTAGCCATTCCGATCGTCGCACTGCTTGCAGGTAATTTATTTTCTTATCTTTAATTTAAATACGGAGTATTTTTTTAATTTGTTGGCTTATTTTTCCAGTGTATATATTGTTTTATATTTGTACTAGTTTTTTACGCGCATTGCGCGATTGAGATAATGCCCAATGTGTTTTTTTTAAATAAGTGCTTTAAAGTATATAAATGCAAGATTATATTGGAATTGTTCATGCATGGATAATTGAATGTCGAATTTGCGTATTTAAATAGGCAATTCTAAATTTACAAATGCAAGGTAGTATAGTCAAGATTGATTATAATTGTCAATAAAATAATTGTATATGTATGGTTGAAACCAAATACGGGACATAAGGGACAGCAAATAAAAATTAAGGCATAAAATATTAAATATATACTAATATTGAAGAGTTAACAGCTAATTGTCAAACAAGGACATTGCGAGGTAGTTTCGTACTTCAATTTGTTGTGTGATTTGAATACTTTTTTTGTCGATAAATCCCCAAAGTAGTTAATATGATTGGCTTAATTATATTATATTATTATTTTTTATTTTTTAAAACAATTATTATTATTATTATTATTATTATTATTATTATTATTATTATTATTATTATTATTATTATTAGTATTATTATTATTATTATTATTAAATATGTGTATACCCTTAGCTCATTTTACATGTTAATCTACACAGCTAATTTTTTCAAATATTTTTTTACAAACCGTTGATATAATTCGCTGGTCAAATCCGCTAACTGCTGATTGTCAAACAAGGACATTGCGAGGTAGTTCTCACTTTTTGTTGTGTGGTTTGAATACTCTCTTTGTCAATAAATCCCTCAAGTAGTTAATATGATTGACTTTATTAATTATATTTTTTTAATTTTTCATGGTATTAATAAAATACTTGGTAAATAAATATATAACATTATTTTGTATTATAACTTTGATATTTAGTTAAAAATAGTGCACAAAAAAGATAATAGACAATGTAGTGAATATAATCAATTGATGAATTTGAATGTAAAAAATTTTTATATTGGGGAAATATAAAGACAATATAACAAATAAAATCATTTATCTTAATTAATTTATTGATAATGATTTTTTTTTTTAATAAAGACATTGTAGGGATAATGTAGCGAATATAATCAATGGATGAAATTGAATGTAAAGAATTTTTATATTGGAGAAAAATAAAGACAATATAACTAATGAAATTATTTATCTTATTTAATATATTGATATATTGATAATGAATTATTATTTTTTGAATAAAGACATTGTAGACACATAATTCTAAATTAAAGAAATGCATATGTATTATTTTTTGTTGTAGCTACTAAATTATTATTTAATTTAATACGAGTAAAATAGAATACTAATTATGTCAATTTTGATTGGGATGATGTTCGAACCTAAGACCTTTCTTATTAAAATCAATGAGTAAGTTAACGGTGAACTAACAGAAATTAACGGAAAAGATAATATTTAACGAAAAAGTTAACGGAAAATCATATTCATTAAGGATAAATTAGGAAATCTTAAGGAAAAATTAAAATCTGATCAATCTGAGCCATTCATTTGATTAAAAAATTTGATCGCCATTTTTTCTACCCATTATAGGCCTAACTCTCTTGGGCTCTTATTAGTATAGTAGAGTAGATTATTAGTATAGTAGATAGTAGATATTACTGTGTATATTTTTCCTTCCAGTGTATATTTTTCTAGGGAATTGATTTTTTTTTTTAATTTTTTTTTCAGTGTAGTGTATATCAGTATATTGTATATTACTATCAGAATTTATTTTTATTTTTTATTTTTTTATTCGAACCAAACTGTGCACTGTTGAACCGGAATCGAAACCGAACCGTCCGTACGGTTCCGGTTCTGGTTCCTAACCAGAACCAATATGGTCCCGGTTAAGGTTCGAGATGAAAGGAACCGGAATCGGCGGTTCTGGTTCCAAATCGGAAAAAATTAAAAATTATAGTGTTTTTTTTATTTACTTTTATTTTTTAATAAACCCGGTTAGAATCGGAATCGGAACTGGGACCTTACGATAAGGTTTCGGTTCCGATTTGTCCATTTGCGGAACCGGAACCAACGGTTCCGAACTAGAACCGAACCGAAACGGGAAACACGGTCACCCCTATATACATGGCAACCCAAACCTGTTGTTAACCTGCTAAAAATACTAATAGGTTCATGGATGAATAAATTTGGAGCGTCTTGACTGAGATTTGAACCCACAACCTCCCATATGAAAGTTTAACATTGGTGTCATTAGACACAATATTATTAAACACAAAGAAAATTAAATTTAAAAATAATCGATTTGATCAATAAATAATAAACATAATAATAAAATGTGAGAGATATGAGTATTTCTCTCTCTTTTTTTTTTTTTATTTTTTTATTTTTATTTTTATGTAAACCACAACGTGGTCCGGGTCTTTCTTTGTCCGTTTAACGGAAGCTAGCCCAAAGGAAATCGTCACTCGTAGGAATCGAACCCAGGTTATTATCCTAGAATTCTTCACCACAAAGAGAGCTCATTTGCCACTTGCTACCCTGTTGGGTTGATATGAGTATTTCTCTTCCTCCACCCAAATCACACTCAAATTTAGGGATGACAATGTGCCCCGTCCCCGTTGGGGATCCCCATCCCCGTCGTGGATGGGGACGGAGACGGGGAAGTTTTGAAATTCCCCGGTGGGGACGGGTACGGGGACGGGGATACCCCTCCCCGCCCCGTCCCGCCCCGCCCCGTCCTCGAATAATTAAAATATATATATATATATATATATATATATATATATATATATATATATATATATATATATATATATATAATATTATATATTTATATTATTTTAGGAATTATATTATTAGATTTTAGAATTAAGATACTATAACCCTAATATATAATACCCTATTCAATGTATTTAGTGTGTGTGTGTATATATATATATATATATATATATATATATATATATATATATATATATATATATATATATATATATATATATATATATATATATATATATATATATAGAAGAGCGCTCATATGCGGCGGGGTCTTACGGTGCGGCGGTGCGGTCAAATTCCAGAATACACCAACAATGTTAACAATATGCACCAACAGTGTAATAAAAACACACCCCAATGAAATGTAATAAAACATCACAAAATACACCACGAACTTAAAAAAACACACCATATAACTCACCACCCCCAATGGTGTATTTCCGAACAATGTATGGTGTTTTTACTCACACCTAATGGTGTGTGTTTGGTGATGCAGGACTCTCTTTACTCTGTTTTGTGTGGTGTATTTCCTAACGTTGATGATGCATATTTGGTGAACTATTGGTGTTGCCGCACCGTAAGACACTGCCGCACCTGAACCCGCCTATATATATATATATATATATATATATATATATATATATATATATATATATATATATATATATATAGTGTTTTCATTGCTTTTATATATACATATATCTATGAGTTATTTTATTAACTAATTTATTTGGCTAGTATTGGCTTTTAATTTGCATAGATTAACAACCAAAATATGAAAATAGGAATTTAATTAAGTTTTGCCACTATGCTAATGGCAGAACATATTTTTATGCATTTTTCTTCACTGTTTCGATTTTTTTAATTTTATTTTTAAAAATTGTATTAGTTTGACACTATGACTATGGATTGATCGGGGATGGGGATTCCCCGTCCTCGCAGGGACGGGAACGGAGAATTTTTTCAATTCCCCGCCGAGGACGGGGACAGGTCGGGGTAGCAGGGACGGGGATGGGGAGTATACTCCCCGCCCCCGCCCCGTTGCCATCCCTAGTCAAATTCTATGACTAGTGGTTAAAAATGTAAATCACTTACTTCCATTAAATTAACATTTTGACTTTACCTTTAAACACTGCAATCGACGACGTCGTTTTACTGTCGTGCTAATATGCAGACTTGCAGAGTCCATTAGAAATCGAAGGGAACTGAAGAAGCCGATCCAATCGGCCTTATCGGCGGTTGATGCCATGGCGGAAATCGATCCTACGAAGCCGAGGCCTCGACCTATCATCCGCATCGGCCTTCTTCTTGTTTCTCACAGCCTCCTCGTCAGGTTATCTTTCTCTCAGTATATTTGTACTTATACACACACTTTTCTGTACATATAACTGGAAGTATCGACTTAGTTAACACTGAAATTGGCACCGAAGTTTTGAAACGGAGACTGATCAATGTTTCATTTTCGTATGGATTCAGCGTTGTGTGCTGTACAGCGGGGGTTTTGGCGCTATTGCTCTTACCAGTTCTCGCTAAGAACACTTACATTTCCGAAAATGCGCTCATGCCTGGTTAGTTGCGGTTGTTAATTTTGCAGTATTTTCCGTCAGGCTTGTGAATTTCAATCTTTTGCTCTAACAGCTTTCGAATCCTTTGTCTTGACTGTTATTCTGTAGGTTCTGCTAGTCCAATGCTTTCACATGATGATGTTTCACAGGCCAGTAGATTTGTGAACAATATACTCAGCTTCAATTCAGGATCAGCTGGCTCAGGCATGTATGTGCTTATTCTCTATTTGTTTAATCTCCCTATCATGCTGCTTTGTCTGATGAATAGGCTTCATTTTTATTTTAGTTTATCGCATTTGATGTAAGTGAGCAAAAATGCAAAATTACTTTGGAAATTCAAATTTCTCATCGGTATTCAGAGTTCAGAATGAAATTTTTTAATTTCACTTTACTTGGATGAAAGCGCATTATCTTGCCTGCCGCAACAGTTATTAAGTAATTACAAATGAACATTTGAGGTCACTACTTTCATAGTTTCATGTTTCATCTCCATTACTGGTTATTTATTTATTTATTTATTTTTTTATATGTATGTAAATTAAATTACCCCAATTTACTGGCCACAGAGGTATTCCAGGAATAATCGCACAGCACATTAAGGATTTGGGTGGTGAAGTAAATTTTCACAAATTCCAGCCTCAAGTGAATAAGTTTCAACCGTTGCGTTTCTTTTCTAGTCCTGATCCTGAAATAGTTCAAGAGAACTACAGCTGTTCAACATATGGTATCAATACAGTTGGAATAATTAGAGCTCCACGTGGTGATGGAAAGGAAGCTATTGTACTGGTGACACCTTATAATTCTATGAAGGTCACTGCGGGTGAGGCTTTATCTCTAGGCATTGGATACTCAGTGTTCTCTCTGCTTACTCGAGTCACTTGGTTAGCCAAAGATATTATATGGCTTGCTGCGGATTCCCAGCTTGGGGATTATGCTGCAGTTGCTTCGTGGCTAAGAGACTATCATACACCATCTTTTGGTGATCTGGGGAAGCTACATTCTGAGATGTGTTACCAAAGAAGTTTGTTTGAGTCAAGTACAAACACAATGACAGGAAAAGAATCTTCTGATGGTTTCCGACGTGCTGGCACGATGGCAGCTGCTCTTGTCATTAAGGTTGCTGATGCCGGTGAAGAAGTGGATAAAGATGCCCTTTACATATATCCTGAAGCATCTAATGGGCAGATGCCAAACTTAGATCTGATCAATATTGTGAACTATTTGGCAGTACATGGGCAAGGTTTTCGGGTGAAGGTTGAGAAATTGTGGTCATTGCTTGACTCTGGGTGGCTGAAAAGCTTAGGCAAATTAATTGAGTCACTGGGGAAAGTGGCTAAAACTTTGAACCCTCAATGGAACTTTGCAATTCCTGTTGCAGAATATGTTGAAGGCACTGCTACACTTGCTAGTTCGCTGTACAACCAGGTATTGAGCTTAAATCAAATCCACCAAGAGAAATTTAAAAAAAAAAAAAAATATATATATATATATATATATATAAGAGAATACCAGCAAAGCATACGTGTCTGCGACTTTCCATCTAAATCTTCTGTTGGTTGGTATAAAAGAGGAGGTTTTGTAAGAAAAGGAATTTATTTGGCAATTATGCATTTGACACTACATACTCATGAATGTTAAGTTTCAACTTTTGTGATCTGTCATTCTCTTTCAGGCATTAGGAATTCCTACAGGACCTCATGGTGCTTTTCGTGATTTTCAAGTGGACGCAATTACTATGAAAGTCTCTCCCAAATATTCAAGTTATGAAGTTCGTCAAAATGAATTCCTTTTGCGAGGTGGCAGGTAAATATCAGATTTAATTTTTGTTTATTTGTGTGTGTGTGTGTGTGTGTGTGGGTACAAATTGGTAGTAAGGTGTGTTGGGATTGGAAAGAACTAGTGTATTCTTTTTGTATTTCTTGTACTCTTGTCAATAGAATTCAAAGTTACCCTTTTGTTTCTAATTACAGGTTGGTTGAAGGAGTCATTCGATGTGTTAATAATCTGCTTGAGAAGTTTCACCAATCTTTTTTTCTATACCTCCTAACTTCTCCAAATAGATTTGTGTCGGTTGGAGTCTACATGATTGCTTTTGCATTGCTTATCTCTCCCCTACCATTGGTTGCGGCATCTCTTTTTATTAGTGCTGATAAATTGGATTCTAATGAAACTGCCTTCACTTTTAAATCTTGGAAATGGCTTAATGCAGCAAAGACAGTTTTTGTTGTCCATTTATGGGGTGCCATCGTTACTCTACTCCCGCAATTTTTTTCCGTATTACCAGATTCATCGATCCCAACCAAGCTTTTAATCTGGGTTTCACTTTCGCTGGTCAGCCTCTTGATCTTGCAAGTTATAATTGGCTCCCCGGTTTCATTCACCCACGATAATCAGGCTCAAAGTACTGAATGGGCTCTATTGAAATCAGTGACAATTGCTGCTGCCTTCATTGGACTGTGCCTTATGTCAGTCATAAACTTTGCAACTGCAGAAATTGGAGCAGTGATACTAGTCCCAATGTGTTTGATGGCTAGACCTTTAAGGCTCGAGGCCAGAGCTATGACTTTGAAGGCATTTGCCAGGGCAGCTTGTAATCTGTTCTTCTTGTTGCTGGGTTTTCCTCCAGTTGCCTTCATCGTTTTCAAAGGTTTGTTGGAAGGATTTAACAATCTTGTAGTTAGTGACTTGTGGAACTGGGTCGAGTCCCTTTGGTTGTGGGGCAGTGCGACGTACATTTATATATGCATGGTTCACATACCATGCTGGGTTTTGTGCATCCGTACACTACTGCATAATTTCTGATCCATTCCCAGGTTCCTCCATCTGCATTGGTGTACTAGCAAAAGAATGACTTTAGTTTCCCATGTATCCAAGTTTTGTTAGATTGCAAATGGCCTGTTAGAATTCTGTCAACTAGAAATGGCCCTTTTGTTGGGCTGATATTCAGGTTAGTTTATGAGTTTGTGGTATAGACTTATAGATGTATCAAGTTTGATTTTATTTCAAGTTTGGAATATTTTCTTGTTTCACTGTTAGGTAATGTTTGGTTCAAGTTATATACGATAATTAGGATAATGTAACTATGGTTATCTTATATAATCTCTTTTGGTTCAAGTCGCTCGTGAAATGTAATGCAGAGTATTATCTTAAGTAACATGATAACCTTCTAAGAATTAATGTGAAATTATAAGAAGAAATAACATTCAAAATAGTTATTCGATTATGTCATAATTCTTAAAATAATCGTCTACTATCAATTCACAAGAAAAAAAAATAAAATGTAATTATGGTTATCTTATATAATATCTTTTGGTTCAAGTCGCTCATGAAATATAATGCAGAGTATAGTATTATCTTAGGTAACATGATAACCTTCTAAGAATTAAAGTGAGATTATAACAAGAAATAACATTCAAAATAATCATTCGGTTATGCCATAATTCTTAAAATAATTCTCCACTACCGATTCACAAAAAAAAAAATGTTCTCTTGACTATGAAAAAAATTACTCAATTTAGTCCTTGATGTAAATAATGAAGGATTAAAATGAGTAAAATTTTGCATAGTCTAGTTGATAATTAATTTGAAAATTATAAAATAATCTAGGGACTGTTATAAATATATTCAATGGACATTTATTTGTAACGGATAATTTTATGCCTCATTAGAGTAGTTATGCTATGCATCCATGGTGCATACGGATGCAAAAACGACGTCGTTTTATTAAAAACGCGCGTCTCCCCTTAAAAAAAAAAATTCAGGTTCGATTCCCAGCAACAACATTATGTTGTTCATTCATTATGTAATTTTAGTTAATAGATTATGGAATTATAGTTCATCGATTATGGAATTGTAGTTCATCGACCATCGATTCTGAAATTTTAGTTCATAGATTATGGAATTTTAGTTCATTCATTCTGGAATTTTTAGTTCATAGATTAGATTCTGGAATTTTAGTTCATAGATTCTGGAATTTTAGTTCATATGTTGTTGCTGGGAATCGAACCTGATTTTTTTTTTTTAAGGGGAGACGCGCGTTTTTAATAAAACGACGTCGTTTTTGCATCCGTATGCACCATGCATGGTGCATACGGATGCACAACATAATTTGCCGCCTCATTATGTTTATTTATGTCCTTTTATATTAGTTCTTTTGTATTAGTTATATATAGAAGTGTATTTCATGTATCATAATGATGAATAAAACAGATGATTCTCCCCTATCTCTCTATTCTGATTTTCCTCTTAACATGGACCATTTTAAGTGTTAACTCTTATCATAATTTAATAACATTACTTTGTGTTTAGTTAAGATCATGAGAATGTAATCTAATCTAAAAACATAATAAGTGTGAAGGAAGGTTATACCCTTCATTTATGTCCGTTTTTTCCGTTAAGTTTTTTTTTTTTTTTTTTTTTTTTTTTTTTTTTTTTTTTTTTTCTACTTTATAATATTTTGGACAAACATACCCCTACCGTTATAACTTCCGTTATCTTTTCCACTATTGTTATCATGCACATGCATCCACCATATATTTTCTTATCTTCTTCAATAATAATAACATTTATACATTATAATTTGGAGTTATTTCCTACACTATAAATATCAAATGTATAAAAATATTATTATTATTATTATTATTATTATTATTATTATTTATAATTATAAATATCAAAAATCTTAATATAAAATACTAATATTGGGCATCTAATTTTTGCGCACGCGCATAAGAAAATACTAGTAATATTATAAAGGTTAATCATACTTAGGCAATATTATGTTATTTGAAATAAACATCCCCTCATTAACGTGATTATCTACCTTGTTTTTTTTTTTTTTTTTTTTTTTTTTTTTTTTTTTTTTTTTTTTTTTTTTTTTTGAAAATAAAAGGCTAATTCATTAATCATAAACAGAAATGTTTACAATATAGATCGTTAGAATGACGGTGCATTTTTTACCGTCAGACATAGAAACAAATTTCCTAGCAATGTTATAGAAAACATGGATCGCGGACTGTTTTATAAATTTGAAGCCGAAGTTGTTGAATGAACTTGGTGCTTCTTCACAGATCTGGTCAACCATAGCCAAGCCTGACTCTGATGTAACCATTTTATCATTCCACGCTTATGAGAAGAACTTGCCAAAGAAACGAGAGGAAAACTCGCCAAAGAAACGAGAGGGAAACACTCACCAGAGAGAAGAGAGAAAACAAACTAGTCAAAGGAATAACGTAGAACCAAAAGATAACAAAATAAATGGAAAAGATGATAGAAAACCTGTCAGATCTGGAGAGTCTCTGACGCATTCTCTGAAAAAACGATCGGAGATAATATGAGATCTAATGCTTAATCCTAATGGAGTCTACTAATGGCACCGCTGGCTCAATCCTCCATTAGAGTGTCAGTCGGCAGCCGGAGGATGGAGTTGCAGGGCCTTTATAGATAAAAAGGGAGAGAAAGCAGTTGTTGGGAGAGAAAGAGATTATTAAGTGAAATAAACTTTTAAGAGTATCTACCTTTTAAACATTGTAATATCACTTTCAAACATTTCAAGTTTACTCTTCGAATTAGGGATTCATAATTCATGTTTTCCTCACTATCATAAATTGTGCCTCCTCCTATATATATATATATATATAGTTAAGTTCAGGTGCGGTTGCGCCTTCGCGTGCGATTGCATCAATAGTTAAGCGAATATACACAATCAACGTTAGGAAATGCACTACAAAAAATACACAAATTAGATACGCATCACCAAAAATACACCATTAGGTATGAATAAAAGCACCATACAGTGTTCGGAAATACACCATTAAGGGTGGTGAGTTATATGGTGTTTTTTTTTTTTTTTGGGTGTTTGCACTTCATTATTGTGTGTTTTCCTTACACTGTTGGTGTATTATGAAAACGGTTGCACGGGAGGGTGCGACCGCATTTAAGCACTTTCATATATATATATATATATATATATATATATATATATATATATATATATATATATATATATATATATATATATATATATATATATATAGGGTTGCATTCAAATACAAACCCCCTTAAAATACAAACACTCCTTAAAATACAAACTTGAGCTCGTGCACACATTAACATACTTACATGCACACAAGGCGCACTGCCAATAATTTCTTGGATTAGCACGTGCACACATTAACATACTTGCATGCACACAACGCGTAGGAGGAAAAATCACAACCATCCATCAAAGCTCGTGCAAACATTAACATACTTACATGCACACAGCGCGTATGAGGAAAAAATCAGGACCGTCCAATACCACCATCCAACGGCGTCAAATTGTCCACAGGTTTGTATTTTAAGATGTGTTTTTACCTGAATGTAAATCTATATATATATATATATATATATATATATATATATATATATATATATATATATATATATATATAGAATAATAATCATATAGGAACCTATGTTTAGGTAGGAACATAAGAACCAATCTAATCCCTTGATTTTTGTGGATCTACGGTTCGTGTTTTGTTTTGTTTTTGTTTTTTTTTTTTTTTTTTGTGTTGTTTTTTTACGCTGATGGTTAGGGCTGTGCAACGGACGGATCGGATCGGATCGGACTGGTTTTCCGTTCATCCGATCGGATTGCGGATTAAAATTTTGAAGTCCTATCCGTCCGTTTTGAAACTAAAACCCTATCGGATATGCTATGTCGGATTTCGGACTACTCGGATCGGATGTCGGACCTAATTCGGATTTGGAAAAGTTCATTGATAATTGAAAATAAAAAACTGAAAAAACATAATAATGATAATATGATTAACAAAATAAGTAATAACTAATAAATTAACAAACTAAAACATGCAAGTGATGCAACAACTTAATAATGGACAGTTTGGAGAGCAAAATAATTCAAGTTTACAAACCAAAGTGCAAAAAGTAAACGAATACATAAAGAATATAAGTTTAAGTGTTTAACTTCCAAAACATTACAAATTTGAAGTTAATCACTTAAACAGAACTTCAGCAAAACAGCAAGTCAGCAATCATTCAAGTAATCCAGTCTAGGCCTTTTCATCAAATCATCAATCACCATTCACCATTTCTACACGACTACACTTCTTCCTGTTAATATGAAAACTTAACAGAATATTATATTATTAGACAACCTATGTAGTCAACAGCTAACTAAGTAGGGGCATTAGGCTAATAGCCTTATAGGCTCAGATTGTAATTTTCCATTTCAAGCTAGGATAGTGGCAAATTGCTCAAATGTGTTATTATAGCACATGAGCAACATAGCAACACTATACCATTTGTTCAGACAGTGGTGGAAGCATCATCATTGCCAAAAAAACAAGTAAGAATAAATAATAATGCATTAAAACTGAACAGAGATCAGTTAAGAGGATGAGAGAAATACCAGAGATCCAGAATGGATGTAATGGGTGTTATGGGAGTATGGCAACTCTAAGTGGGGCAACATTTCTATAATATACTTATAGAAAGTTGCCAAGCCACTTAGACTGCAGATATTCTCACAGTTTCATCTTTTGAAGGCCATCAGCAAACAACAGTACAACACCATAACATATAAAGATAAATAATTACTGAAAACATTACAGGAATGGATGTCAGCATTGATGGTAGAGTAGTTCCAGCTCCAGTGGGTAACTCTGCAAAACAGTTAAGAATTAGTAGTTAGTTATAGACTTACAAATTACAAAAGTACAAAAGAAATGATGTAAGAAATATATATATATATATATATATATATATATATATATATATATATATATATATATATATATATATATATATATATATATAAAATTTACCTTTCTCCAATCTCTCAACCTCATCTAAATTTTCCTCAACTGTGATTGGCTGATTATGTAACCTCAACCAATCTTGGGTACACAGTAAAGCTTCCACAATTTTAGGAGTCAAGGAACTCCTAAATGCATCAAGCACCCTCCCACTTGTACTAAATGCACTCTCAGATGCAACTGTTGAAATAGGAACTGCAAGTACATCTCTAGCCATTTTGGAGAGAATAGGAAATCTCTCACTATGATTCTTCCACCACTTTAGAACATCAAAACTCACAGATTCATCATCCTCAACCAGATTTTCACTCAAGTAAATTTGTAGCTCTGTCTGCTTACTGCTTCCACCACCACTCTCCAATCTTTTTTTTTTTTAAGTTCACTCTTCATCCTTGAGACAGGCCTACCAACTGTACAAGTAGGAGGCTGAGACTGGACATGTTGGTTAGATGATGAACTGTCAGAGTATGTAGCTGCATAGTCATTGTACAATGCAACCATTGAATTTTGGACCTTGGCAAAACATTCTTTGCCTTTGGCCTCTCCATACAACTGGACAAACTGGTGAGGCATGTACTCCTCTTTATCTCTAGGGTCCAGAATATTGGCAAAGAAAATGATATGGTTCATTTTTTCTGGATCTCCCCAGTACTTATCAAACTTCTCTTTCATTTTTGTCCCCATTGCCTAATAAATACAGAAACTCAGAAAGCATAAGCATTTAAAAACGCAAACAAGTAAACAACTTACAAGATATACTCATATACAGAATTACACAAATAAATTGTACAAGTTTTTTACCTTTTCAGTTCTGTCAGCTTTAGTCATATCTTCCAGCATACAACTGAGATCAGAGATCTCAGAGAAGAATGTGTTAGAAGTGACATAAAGAGAACCAGATATTCTCACAGTCATTTCATAGAAAGTTTTCAAAAGCTTCATTAAGCTTTCAACAGTCTCCCAATCAAGGAAAGAAGGTGCAGAACCCAAGTCAGCAGAAAAAGAAGGATCATTTTGATGATATGAGTCAAAGACACTTTGATATTGAATTGCAGTGTTGAGCATAAGGTAGGTGCTGTTCCACCTTGTAGGGACATCAAGCTGCAAAGCTGATTTGGCTTCCACCCCAATGAATTCAGCAAGTTCTCTGAACTTATTCAACCTAGCAGGTGAGTTCCTAACCCATCTCACTGCATCCCTCACCCTTTTAACTGACTCATCTGCAAACCTCAAGCCATCTTGAACCACTAAATTTAAAATATGGGCTATACACCTCATGTGCATATACTGCAACCTAACAGAAGAACCCCCCCAAGACAACAACTTGCTTTTAAAGAATCCCATAGCTGTATCATTAGAAGAAGCATTGTCCACTGTCACAGTGAACACATTTTTAATCCCCCACTCCAACAGACAACTCTCTAAGGCTTTAGCAATATACTCCCCCCTATGAGAAGAAACAGGGACAAAGGAAATGATTTTTTTCTGAAGCCTCCACTGGTCATCAATAAAATGTGCAGTAATGCACATATAATTAATCCTTTGGACAGAAGTCCAAGTATCAGTGGTTAAACTGACCCTTTGGGTGCCCACCCTAAACAACTTCTTAAGACTCAACCTCTCATCTAGGAAGATTTGGTAGATATCCCTAGAAATAGTCCACCTAGAAGGAATCTGAAACCTTGGACAAGCTACAAGAATAAACTTCTTGAACCCCTGACCCTCAACAAACCTAAAAGGGAGTTCATCTATTATGATCATCTCACATAATGCCCTTCTAATGGCTTCTTGATTAAAGACCCAAGTCCCCAAAACCCCCACAGGAGCCTCTGTTGCAGAAGTTGCAACAGTATTGAATGTGAGAAGGGACTGCCTCATATCCTTTGAGACAGGATTTTTTAGGCATGCCATCATATGATTTTTCAGTGATGATGTGCCATGTTTCTTTGACTCACAGAAAAACACTTTCAGGCAGTAAATGCACTTGCCTTGAACCACTATATTTTCAGAGTTCTTTATCTTTTCAAAGTGATCCCAGACTGGAGACCTAGACTCTACCACCCTCCTCTTTTTTGCAGGAACAGCAGGAGCAACCTGAGGCTGCTGAGCAGGATTCTCAGTGCCTTGGGCTTGTCCTCCATGTCCCTCTTGAGTTGAGGGTTGAGGTCCAGAGTCAGGAACATTGATGCTTTCCATCTAAAATGATGGGCATCAATTACTCAGCAAAGGCAACAAGCCAACAATCACATTCACTGATTCACATAAACATACAAAGAAATTTGGATTCAGACACTTTTTTGTGTCATCATGTATCAAGATTTCACAATTTCATATTTACATATTTACATATTTACATTCAAATATTCAATTAAGGGTAATACATCCATAAACATACTCAAATAATGAAAGAAATCCAGATTCAGGAATTGTATCCAATTCATCATTATCTGGATTTCATGTTAATGGCTTCCACCAATAAATGGAAATTTCAAGTTTGAAACTTGATAATTTCACATTCAAGCCTTTAACAGATTACAATATCATAGTCCACACAAATCACAGATTCACAGGTACAAAACTAGGGTTTCTGCTTCCACCTTTAAAGAATAGAACACAACATAGCATAATCTAACAATAACTAGGGTTTCTGCTTCCACCATACTAGATCAGAGAATAGAACACAACATAGCAACATAGCATAATCTAACACAAATATATGAGCATATGAACATACAGAGAGGAAAGAATCAACAGATCAGACAAACAAAAACTAGGGTTTCTGCTTCCACCATACTAGATCAGAGAATAGAACACACCATAGCATAATCTAAGACAAATATACTTATATACGAGCATATGAACATACAGAGAGGAAAGAATCAACAGATCAGACAAACAAAAACTAGGGTTTCTGACTTTCTGCTTCCACCATACTAGATCAGAGAATAGAACACAACATAGCAACATAGCATAATCTAACACAAATATACGAGCATATGAACATACAGAGAGGAAAGAATCAACAGATCAGACAAACAAAAACTAGGGTTTCTGCTTCCACCATACTAGATCAGAGAATAGAACACAACATAGCATAATCTAACACAAATATACGAGCATATGAACATACAAAGAGGAAAGAATCAACATATCACAAAAACTAAAACTAGGGTTTCTGATTTACTTGGTTTCCCCTTATTATTCCCCGGAGAACAAAGGCCTCTAATCACCAGTCCACGTTCCACCACCAACTCAAGAAGGGCTTCCACCAGTCGACCACCGCACACCGGACAATCGGACAGTCCACAGAGACTCAGAGTCTCATACAGTCAGACTCTCAGTCTCAGAGAGGTGAGACGACTGTGAGAGACTCAAAGGAATGAGAGATTGAGAGGATGAGATTGAGAGGAGTAGAGAGCAGAGAACGAGAGAAGAGCTCTGAGCCTTTGAGAGTGAGAGAGTCTCAGAGATGAGAGATTGAGAGAACTGAGAGAAGAATCAGAAGAGTAGGGCTGCGCATCTGGCTACACAAAGGCTTCAACATACATATATACTTACCTCATATGACGTCGTCTAGCATACACAAAAACCTAACCCTAGGTTAGATCGGGTAGTTGGACGGGTCGGATGGGAAAAAACCAAATCCTATCCGACATGCTTTATTCGGCGTCGTTTTGCCTTCGGTTCGGATTAAGCTAATCGGACCACGGACGGGTCGGAAGGGGTGTTTTCGGGCGTCGGGTCGGTCGGGTATGTCGGGTTGGGTCGGGTTTGCACACCCCTACTGATGGTAGTGTTTTTGGGGGTAGGAGGGGTATTTTTGGACATTCAGGCACTCAAACATTCTTTAGAATAAAAAAAGGATCCCCAATGCGTGTGGGAGGTGCTATTTTATCGCTGGGGTTTTGACTTGTCGTAGTTGGACTCTTTCACTCTCAAACGCCACGCGATTCGCTGCTTTGCAGGTTCGACGCCCATACTGTTCTCTCGTCTCTTCTCCAGCTTTCCGTCTCAGATGGCCGGTGGTGGTGTGAGGAACCCCAAGCATCCTCGTCAGGCGACGGCTTCTTCCGCTGCTCGAGGTTTTTTTTTTTTTCTCGTTTTTATGTTTTGATTTCCTGTGCGATCAGTATGTTTATTTTAATTGTGGGTTGCTCATTATATTGGGGGTTTGAGTGTGCTTGTGGCCGGAGGCTCTGGTTTTTTTTTTTTTTTTTTTTTTAAATTTAAATTTTTTGTTATGGCGTGTTTCGTATTGTGCGTGTTGTTGTTGGGTGTTTCTAAGGAAGTTTAGTTTCATGAGTTTAGGTGGTTAAAGCATCAGAGCCTGAACATATATTGAGTAAGTGAAGTACATCCCAATTCGAATTCCTAGCCCCCAGATTCCCATAATAGGTGAACCCATTTGTATTGTCAGTGTAATAAGAACTTATGCTTTGCTCATTCCAAAGTCCATCCATTTATAACAAAAAAGTCATCTCATTTGTGTTTTATTTTCCCGTGGCACTTTGTTTTTTAACATGGCAGGGGGGTTATCCTTGTGCTTTTTATGGCGCACACTTACTTTCCTACGTGGACAGAAACATTTTGCGAATTTCATTTCATGGTGGTGAATATGGCACACACATCTCTTTCTGTGTGCACACTTGTCTTTCTGGATTGATGGTTTCTTGTTGGATGATATAGTTTACCTTGTTTCGATGTGGTCTTGGTCTTTTGGCAGAAAGATTTGTTGTCTGTGTTCCTTGATGATGAGGTGGATTTGCGTTATGGGGCTATTGTAAAGAGGATTCCCTCGAGAAGAATGTAGATGCGCTGGCGTGATGCATGTAACAAAGTGGACTGTGGCGTCTTTGCAATGCGGCATTTGGAGTCCTTCATTGGCCAATCAGTGTATGCATGGGATTGTGGTCTACAGAAAGGCGATACTAAGGATCTTGATTTGTTGAGGAGGTCTTATTTGCATCAGATTTTGACGAATGAGATTAATGCTCACCATTCTAAGAATATTCGTATAGCTTTTTGTTTTTGTTGCTTAACTATTTGATTAGTGGGTTAGTTTATTTCAGTTGGGTATGTTTGGTGAATATGGTTTTTGTTGTCGTATCATGGATTAATTTATTCTGTTTTCATATGCCTACTATTGCTTTTTTATTGGTGTTTCATTTGGGTAGTACTCTCGGCCATGATGGCACATACAGTCCAACGTCTGTGCACATGAGGGCATGGTTACAATTATGTATCACACGCTGTTGTGCTTCGGCAGGCACATAGTACTAACCTCAGGCACATGTTCTTGGTCTTAGGTGCACAGTTCGACCGCACCCACAGGCAGGCACAGAGAAGTGATCTCATGTGCACACATGCTGCCCTATTCTAAATAATATTATGCCATCTCAGACAGATTGAATTAACCGGCTTCACGCGAACACGTATTTGCCTATGTAAAAGGTAGTTGGTAGGCACATATGCGTACCCAAGTGTAGAAATATAGAGTGTGTAAAAAACTGTAGTGCAGTATCTCAGTCAGGCACACGGTCTTTTAATCAGGTGCACACTTTTACCGACCCTGCATACACGCACTCAGAACTGTTCACAGGTGCACACAACCTGCCATAATCCAAATTTAAATATGTCTGCTTAGACATATTGGAATGAACGAGTTCACGCCAACACGTATTCAACTTTGAGAAAGCAAGTTGGAAGACAATTATTCCTGAACAAATACTTCAATAAAGAGTGGGGAAAACTGTAGTCAGTATATATGTCAGGTACCCGATCTTGGTCTCAGGTGCACATTTCGGCCCCACCCACAGGCTGGCACACACCCGTGATCTCAGGTGCACACACGCTGCCCTATTCTAAATAATATTATGCCATCTCAAACAGTTTGGATTAACTAAATTCACGCGAGCAAGTATTTGCCTATGTTGCCTGTATAAAGGCACTCAGAACTGATCTAAAGTGCACACAGGTTGCCATATTCTAGATACAAATATGCTTGCTCAGACTGATTGAACTGAGCAAATTCACGCCAACATGTATTTAACTATGGAAAAGCAAGTTGGAAGACAGTTATTTGTACAGAAGTAGACTAATAAATAATGAGGGAAAAAAAGGGAATTTCAGACGCTCAGAATGGCACACACTGTTTGTCTTAGGCGCTCCATCGTAGCATATGGGCTCATTCCGTTAGGCACGTTTTGTCGTCCTCTGTTTCTTAGTCTTTGGTTAGAGTCCTTTTGCAGCTTGTTCTGATGCATTCTCCTTTGTTGATTTCAATCGCTTCCTTGAACCTTTGTTCTTTGCAATGGCAGGAGGGTGAACCACAATGTTTGATGATGAGTATCCTTTTTCTCGGAAGCGCGTTGCACATCAAACCCAGTAGTAGTGGCGTAAGTTTTGTAGAACTCAATTCCTCCTTCCAACGTAGTGAACACCTGTCCCGTGAAAGGCTTTATAGCCTCGTCACACTCTGGTGTACAGTACTTTGTTGATCCGGGAGAGATATTCAGCAAACACCTGGTTGATCCCCCTATTAAGCCATCTTCACCTGTCGAGGGTAACAATTTTTTTAGTTCAGTATGCAGTTAACTTGTGTGCCTCTAAGATTATAATCAATATGCACGTTGTCAGTGTTTCACTACCCTATTTGGCATAATAATCACACCGCATGTGCACATAAGGGTACACGTGGGTTAGTATGTGCACTGCCCCGTAAACGTGGGTGCACACATCCGCATATGCCTAGGCTAGTGTGTGCACTTCAGCATTATAGGGCGTGCCGTTTAGTAGGGCGAACAGAGTTAAGGAGGGCATGAACATTACTGTTGCCGCATACCGTTCCACACATTGTTATATCATTTAAACTGGCCTATGACTACATGATTACACACTCCATTACCAGTCCCTATGAATTTAAATTTTGAAAACAACCATGGTTACGTATTCAAATATAGATCTTACTGTGATGGTATTCTATTGCCATTATTCCGATCGGGGAAGATCACTTGGTACACGCCCTTGGTTGCTTCAGGGTGCACAGGTCCGACAGATTTTTCTGGCGTTGGTCGGAGGGATTCTGTTGCAGCGGTGTCGTTCGTAGATATTCTGGCGTTAGCCGGAGAAGTTCTGTTGCAGCGGTGCCGTTCGCGGAAAGTTGAAAGAATAGAGTCCTGAATCATCTACTCCTCCAATATTCTTGAGATAATTTAAAATACAATATTAATTAATAATTGTTGGATGCTGAAAATTACCTTAGTATCCCTTGAAATTATTTATACTTATTACTTATTAATTAATATAAACCGTTGATTGGATGGGATTTAAGGCTTAGATTAGTTCTTATGTTCCTATCTAAACATGGGTTCTCACTTGAAGCCCTCCCTATATATGCTAATGTTCCAGTGAGACAACATCTTCCATTCTTCCCGCGAGACTATGAGCACACCGTCTACTACATGAGTGCATTTCTTGTTGTGTCTCACACTATCACGGGAAAGAAAAATAATAAAAAATTTAGTTTATAAAAAGTGTTAAGATAATTATAAATAGAGTTAATATCACAAATGGTCCTCTAACTATAGGGGTAGTACTCCTTCTAGTTTTCGACTTTCAATTTGACTAAAAAGCATATTTTGACTTTCATTTTTTTTTTTACCACAAATAGTCATCCGTTATAATTTTTGTTCATTGAGTTCATTCTTTCCCAATTCTCTTCACAACTTCAACACCCAGAATTTGGAGAGAAAAAATGTTAAATACTCTTCATTCTTCCCCAATTTTCCCTCACAGCTTCAAGCCTTCAACACCCAGAATTTGGAGAGAGAAAATGCAATACCCTTCATTCTTCCCCAATTTGTCTCCTCAGCTTCAACACTCATAATTTGGAGAGAGAAAATACAATACGTACCCTTCATTCTTCCCCAATTTACCTCCATAGCTTCAACACCCACAATTTGGAGAGAATAAGTACCAAATACCCTTCATTCTTCCTCAATTCTCCTACACAGCTTCAACACTAAGAACTTGGAGAGAGAAAATGATGCATCATCATTTTTTTTTTGTGCATCCATTTATTATCTGTATTATATGGGCATGAGATTACTAAATTATAAGTAGCTTATGGCCTTTCACCCTACCTGTTTAATTGTTTAGCTACAGATGAATTCTCAATATGTACATTTAATGTTTTCTTTGACCGGAATTTTATTGTGAGAGGAACATGATACTATCTTTTATTTTGCAAATGCCTTTCTTTCTTTCTTTCTTTTTTTTTTTTTTTTTTTCAACAGTTTTTGCTCATTCAATCTTTATAATTTGTAATTGAGTTGGTTGTAATTTCAACTTATGATGTCACAAGTTTTTCATTTGGAGAGGGGTGAGTATTCCTCCACATTCTGTGTAGGTTATGTGAATTTGTAATAGACAATTATAATCTTTAGTATATTCTGGAGGACAATAAGTTGATGCCTAACATATGAAAATGTCTATAGGGATTAATATGCAGTGAAAGCATTCAATTTGGAAATAACCTTGTGTGTGTGAGAGAAGGCTTCTGGATTTTTCAGTAATTATATTTTCCATAATTTTGAGCAGTTTGCTAATTTTGTTATTTGATTATAGGTTAAATATTTGAAGGAAGTATTATTTGAAGGAAATATTGTGAATATGTGGGAAGCTATTGTATCAAACTACAAAGAATGGGGGTTGAAGTTGTGAAGGAAAATTGAGGAAGAATGAAGGCTATTTAGAATTTTCTCTCTCCAAATTCTGGGTGTTACAGTTGTGGAGGAGATTGGGGAAGAATAAACTCAATAAAAGGTATTTGGTTTCATTCTGCTGACTGCTGAGGAACATTTACTATCCTTATATTTAACAGAAATTATAACGGAGGACTATAAATCTTAAAATCTTAGAATAAAGAAAAGAATAAACAATAATGGCGGATCACCACACAAATTGCAGAGTTGAAACCGACGTTCTGGAGGCGGCTGCAAACCGCCTTCATGAGGCAGTTTCGGCAGTTTCAATGGTTTCTGGTAACCGTAGATGTTTCCGCCTTGTTTTCTTCTTTTAATGTTTCTTTAGTAATGTTCCAGATTTTCGTCTCTAACGAGGTTGTTCTGCATAATGTGGCCTGCGATGTAAAGTTAACGACATTATTTACGGCAATGCTTCAAAAGCACTTCAAATCCACACGCGGCGACGGGCATGAATCTGAACTTACTTGTAACAGTTGATGCTGAGTTTCCCGGCCAGAAATCACTGTCGTCGGCGTTGTCTTTTTTCTCATTCTCGTCGTCTTCGGCGTCATTTTCGTCGCTGATGAACTCTGGGGACGATCCTTGACCTTCGTCGTCGAGAAATTTGAAGACGGTATCTGATAGTCGGCGAGGAATACAAGAAAAGACGATTTTGCCCCTTCCAATTCAGTTCAAATCTTGACTTAAGATTTTTCGGTCACAATTCGCCGGTAATTTGGCTGGCGCAATCAAAATTGATAAAAATTGCATAGTCAAGGTACTAAATTAATATTTTTGAAAGTCAAATGTTGCAATTAACACAATTCCAATAGTCAGTGGACCAAAATTGAAATTTAGTCATAAAATAATTATTACGACATTAAAGATAAGCCTTAATCTTTTAGAAGTAATTTTATAACATATAATATAATTTCATATTTTTACATTCTTTGAATCAAACAGTTAAAAGAAGAGAATTTGATTTGGCAAAAAGATGTTTTTGACCAAAGCTTCTTCCTTTTTTTTTTTTTTTTTTTAATTAAAAAAAAAAAAAGAAAGAAAAACAACCTAAGCCCTTTTTCTCCTTTCACTTTTATGATATTCCCACAATTTCCCTTTTGTCCAAAACAATTGAAACGAACTATAAAGAAGCTTTCTTTGTCAAAGTACCTTAGGAGTTTGAGTTGAAAAAACATAGGAGAATATGATTCTTTAGGTTACCTCATACCATAAGTTGGAAGAATCAATTAATGATGACTTTTTCAAAAGTTGCTCCCTTTTTCAATTCCCCTCTAATCTCATTTCTAAAGTCTATTTAACCATTTTTTTAAAAAATAGATAAGTCTAAAATAAATTGTGATTAACACACTAATTAATTCTTAAATTACTTTTTTGTGTAGGGTTTAATTTCACTTTTGGTCTCCCAATTATTCTATTTGTAATTACTTCTAATCTTTAATTTTAAAATTAATTTGATATCTGAATTTGAAAAACTTTCTCCTTTAATCTTAGTTTAGCCATTAGAGAAACCTCATATGTTTTGGTTTTTTCCTTGGTTTTTGCAAGTACGAAAGAGAGGGGAGAGAGAAGAGGGAAAAGGATGAAAAATAATTTGATAGCAAAAGTAAAAAAAAAAAACAAAAAGTAATTTACGCGCTTGCTGGGCGCGACAGTTGCTGCCCACGTGCGATTTGCGCAATGCCTTTCCCCCTTCTCCTTGATAAATGGACCCCACAAAAAATTGTGATTTGCAAGAAAAAAAAAAAAAAAACTTCCAAAAAATCATGTTTCCCATTTGTTTAAAAATCAGTTCATAGTTTTTTTCGTGCAAAAATCTCTCAAAAAAGCACAATTGTTGTTGATCTTAAGGTACAAAATTTGGTCCTTGAAGAGTTATAACTAGCAAGTGTTCAAAGTTAGATATTATTTATATATATATATATATATATATATATATATATATATATATATATATATATATATATATATATATATATATATTTGATGAGTTCGGGTGGAATGTTTGATATCCTAACCTAAAGTTAAAGGTTGATGTTAAAAAAAAATATGATCAATTTTGAAATTAAGGATTAACTTTGTAAAAATATATTAGTTGTAAGATTAAAATAAGAAATAATTTTGAAGTGCATTTATTACTTTTTTTTTTTTGTTTTGTTTTGTTTTGTTTTGTTTTTGATACTCTTAGTTACGTTAAGGGACTTTCGTATTTTGTAATTATATTTAATATTTAAGGGAATCTATTTATCACTTTAGTTAGGCAGAGTTGTGTTGGAATTTGGTTGCGAATTCACATGTCATTAAACAGCCTAAAATCTTATCCCATTTTATGCCCATATGCCTATTCAATTCTTCCATCTTGAGTAAAATCCCAAAAATGCTGAACATCAGAAGAAAGACTAATATATTCTTCAAAAAGAAAGAAAAAGAAAAACTCATTTGAATTCAATCAGAGTTCAAAGAATGCTGAATGCGTTTTGGAATTTAGGATTCGTTTTGAAAATCCAAAAAATAACTTCTGTAAGTATTTTTTAAAAAAATAAAAAATAAAAAACTTTCAGTGACTATCAGCGAAAATATTCATTTGGATCAAATGAAAAATGAATCAAATATTTTCCAAGATATTCAGAAGACTTTTTTTTTTTTTTTTTTTTTTTTTTTTTTAGAATAAGGGTCAAATAGGCCACTGAACTGCACATCAAACTACAATTAAGTCATGGAACTAAAAAAAGATGCAATTAAGTCCCTGAACTACACAAATTTATGCAATTAGGCATAAAATGACCTGTTTACCTGCCATAGGTTGCGGATTTTAAAAATAAGTTTTAAAATAATTTTAATCAAAAAATTAATTTTAAAAAAAAAAACAGAACGGCCGGAGACGAAGACCTTCGTCTCCAACCATGGAGACGATCTTCGTCTCCTGCCATGGAGACGAAGAGACCTTCGTCTCCTGGACATCGTCTCCTGCCATGGAGACGAAGAACGGCCGGAGACGATTTCGTCTCCGGCCGTTCTTTTCTTCTTTTTTTTTTTTTTAAATTAATTTTTTGTTTAAAATTATTTTTATAATCCACAATCTCCATGTCAGCAAAGTATTAGGTAAATAGGTCATTTTAGATCTAATTGCATTAATTTGTGTAGTTCAGGGACTCAATTGTATTTTTTTGAGTTCGATGGCCTGATTGCAACTTGGTGTGCAGTTCAGTGACCTATTTGACCCTTATTTTTTTAATCTCACAAAAATATTTATTATAAAATGCTTTTATTAGCAATTGAAAAAAACATTTAGGTTATCGCCATATCCACACACTAGTTATTAAATATACTAGTGTAGGGTATGCACGCTATTTGAAAATTATTTTGTGCTTAATTTTAAAATAATAATAATAATAATAATGTTAAAATTATTACAAGTTTTTATTTCAATTTTTTAAATCTATTAAATTAAAGTGATAAATTCTAAATTAGTGTTAAAAAAAATTTGCACTTTTGTCCCTGTTAAGGATATGTGTGGCTGACATTTTATCTCTTTATATTTGTGGTAGTTATGTTCCTGTAGAATAGGTGCGTTGAACAAGTTGTTACAACCTCCTACTATTCTCCCTCTCTTGTACACTATTTATAGCTCATTATTTTACATCAATAAAGTACAGTTTATAATCTTGACATGGTATCAAGAGCCTTGAATCTCCTACGAAGTTTTTTTTCCCCCCTACCCACATGGCTTCCACTACTACAGCCACAAACGATATAATCCAACTAAATGCCCCTACAAACTTTCCTATTAAACTCAATACCACGAATTTCCCAGTGTGGAGACGTCAAGTCCACTCCACACTTATTGGGTTTAATCTTCTGGGTTACATCGATGGTACCACCACGGAACCCGCCAAATTCACTGATACTGCTCAAACTGCCGTTAACCCTGCCCATCTAATTTGGTATCGTCAAGACCAAATCATTTTCAGTGCACTTCTCGCTAGTTGTACTGACACCATACAACCCATCATCTCCTCAGCTACGACAGCCCATGATGCGTGGCAACGTCTGATTGCTAGTTACGCCAGTACCTCTCGAGGACGTATCATATCCCTCAAGGCCAAGCTCACGAAAAATCCGAGAGGGTCTCGATCCATTACGTCTTACCTCAATGACATGCGAGCCTTAGCTAATGATCTTGCGATGGCTCAGTGTCCAGTTTCGGATGAAGATCTAATTGTTTATATATTAACTCAGTTAGGGGAGGAGTACAACTCTATTATATCTGCCGTCCGTGTTCGTGAAAAGCCAATTTCCTTTGGTGAATTGGCAGACGTGCTGACTGACCATGAACATCAGCTGAAGGCAGCGGAAAGGCAGCGGATGAGACGCGGCAACCGGTACTGGTTGAGTTCAGGGACGCAATTGTATTTTTTTGAGTTCGATGGCCTGATTGCAACTTGGTGTGCAGTTCAGTGGCCTATTTGACCCTTATTTTTTTAATCTCACAAAAATATTTATTATAATGGCGCCCACCGACAAAATTGGCAACAAGGGGGTAACAATCGCTCCAGTATTATTTGTAAGTTTTGTCATCTTACAGGTCACGAAACCAAGGTATGTCGCAAGCTAGCCAGATTTCTTAAAGAGCATAATGTTGTCCCTATGCAACCGTATATGTCTCCTATAGCTAATGCTGTGACTGGGGCGTCTCCTCCCTGGATGTTTGATAGTGGGGCGTCGCACCATGTGACACCAAGCCTCGCTCCTCTGCAGACTTTCACCGAGTACAGTGGATCTGATGAACTACGCCTGGGTGACGGTAATTCCTTACAAATATCCCACATTGGCCAGTCTGTCATTCCCACTCCTAATGTTCTCACTCTTGATAATGTCTTGCGTGTCCCACAGTTACACACTAATTTAGTTTCTGTTTCCCAGTTATGCAAGACTAATCGTGTATCTGTTGAATTCTTTGATTCTCATTTTTTGGTTAAGGAACTTCGAACGGGGATTCCGCTGCTACGGGGGGCGAACATTAATGGTGTTTATTTTGGACCAGTTGTCTCTCACCCAACAATTCATGCTACGCAGTTGGCTCGTTTGTCTCAGTGGCACCAATAACTCGGCTACCCGTCGAATAAGGTGTTGCAACTTGTGTTGCAACGTTGTAATGTTCCAGTCTCCATGTCACCTCTGCGAAATTTTTATTGTGCCTCCTGCAATGTTCATAAAAGCCATAAACTGCCTTTTTCTAAAAATACACTTGTTAGCACTAAACCTTTGTAACTTGTTTATACTGATGTGTGGGGACCTACTGAGTACTCTATTGATGAGTTTCGCTATTATGTCATTTTTGTAGACCACTTCTCAAAGTACATTTGGTTGTATCCCATGAAACGTAAATCGGATGTGTTTCCAATATTCATTCAGTTCAAACAGCTAGTGGAAAAATATTTTAGCCTGTCAATTGTTTCTGTTTACTCAGATAATGGGGGCGAGTTCATGAGACTTGGGCTGTTTTTTAATACTCACGGTATCTCTCATTTCACCACCCTGCCACACAGTCCTGTCAATGGTGTCGCCGAGCGACGGCACAGGCATGTCGTGAAAACTGGCATGTCTCTTCTTCACTCCGTGCCTTTGCCTTCCTCATACTGGACCTACGCCTTTCAGACAGCCGTATATCTTATTAATCGGCTCCCTACTCTGACTTTAGGTAACCAATCCCCGTTTTCTGTCTTGTTTCAACAATTGCCTAATTATGCCAAGTTACAACCCTTTGGTTGCCTATGTTTTCCCTGGTTGCGTCCCTATAACACCAAGAAACTACAACCAAAGTCACGTCCATGTATTTTCCTTGGCTACTCGAACAGCCAATCCAGTTATAAGTGTCTAGATTTTGGTTCGAATCGTATTTATGTATCTAGGCATGTGAGATTTGTGCCCCATGTGTTTCCTTATAACGATTTGCAAAAGTCATCTAACAGCTTACCTTCTGATTCTCATGATTCAGAATCACGCAATATTTTGTGCAAGTCGTCTCCTTTGTCTACACAGGTTGAGCCCGTGGGTGTTCCAACACCAGTCCCAACACCGGTTCCAACTCCAGTTCCAACACTAGTTCCAACACCCGTTCCAACACCAGCTCCAACTCCAGTTCAGAGTCCAGTTCCAACACCATCACCGTCAGATGCGTCCAATTCGTCGTCTCCCACTGTCTCAGAAAATGGTCACGGGAGCGTCGTCCTAATCCCCGATATTCCGATTATGTCATTAATCAAGCTACTTCCCATCCCTTGCCTCCTACTTTAGAACCTTCTACCGTCGCCCAGGCTCTTAAAGACGCTCGGTGGAGGAAAGCAATGGATGAGGAGTTCGAAGCGCTGCAACGTAACAACACGTGGCGACTGGTTCCCCGTGGCGCAGCTGTTCCAATTGGCTGCAAATGGGTCTTCCGTGTTAAGAGCAAATCGGATGGGTCGGTTGATCATTTTAAAGCGCGGCTTGTCGCTAAGGGGTTCTTGCAAACTGCTGGACGGGATTATTTTGAGACATATAGTCCGGTTATGAAACCGGTCACGATCCGTATTGTTCTAACCATTGCTTTGAGTAATCGCTGGGGTCTGCGCCAGCTAGATATCAATAATGCGTTCCTTAATGGAACATTGCACGAGGAGGTGTTTATAGATCAGCCTCCCGGGTTTGTTGATCCGTCATTTCCATCTCATGTATGCAAACTGACCAAAGCCTTATATGGTCTTAAACAGGCTCCCAGGGCTTGGTACTTAGAACTTTCCCAGTTCTTGTTGCGTTGTGGGTTTTTGAAGTCACAGGCAGATGCGTCTTTGTTTGTTTATTCTGCTAATGATATTATTGTTTATTTCCTGGTGTATGTCGATGATATCATCCTAACAGGAAACAATGTTGCGTGGCTTGACAAGTTTGTTGGAACTCTGTCAGCTCAGTTTGCTCTTAAGGACCTGGGTCCCTTGCATCATTTCTTGGGTATTGAAGTAGTCTCGATTCTTAATGGCATGTTCCTGTCTCAGAGTCAATATATCACAGATCTTCTGGTTCGGTTTAAGATGGATGGTGCAAAGTCTGTTTCGACACCATTGGCTACTACGGGCAAGTTGCTACCTGCACAGTCTGGTAGTGTTGCGGTGGATATCACTCAATTTCGGCGTCTCCTTGGTGCATTGCAGTACTTGGTCATCGTTAGGCCAGATGTATCCTATGCAGTTAACCGTCTCTCGCAGTTCATGCATTCACCGACAGAGCTGCACTGGCAGGCGGCCAAACGATTGCTACGTTATCTAAAAGGAACAGTTTATCATGGGTTGTTTCTCCGCACTGGGCAACCACTGTCACTGAGTGTTTATACAGATGCTGATTGGGGCGGTTGCACTACCGATGGCCGTTCCACCACCGCATACTTGTTGTATCTTGGTGCTAATCTTGTTTCTTGGAAGTCCACCCGCCAGAAGTCCGTGTCACGCTCGTCGACGGAATCTGAATATCGAGCCTTGGCAAATGCTGCTGCAGAGGTCTTGTGGATAAAGAATCTGCTTCACGAGCTGCGGGTGCAACTAGTGAAACTACCAGTTATGTTCTGTGACAACCTTAGTGCAACATATGTGTGCAGAAATCCGATTTTCCATTCACGTATGAAGCATCTGGCGCTGGACTACTTCTTTGTTCGTGACTTAATCTCTAATGGTTCACTGGTAGTGCGGCACATTCCTTCGTCGGCTCAGCTAGCTGACTTCCTCACAAAGCCGTTGGGCCGCTCTTTGTTTCTTCTATTCCGTTCCAAGATTGGAGTCTCCGACGGATCCTCAATCTTGCGGGGGCGTGTTAAGGATATGTGTGGCTGACATTTTATCTCTTTATATTTGTGGTAGTTATGTTCCTGTAGAATAGGTGTGTTGAACAAGTTGTTACAACTTCCTACTGTTCTCCCTATCTTGTACACTATTTATAGCTCATTATTTTACATCAATAAAGTACAGTTTATAATCTTTACAGTCCCCCTACATTGTTGAACAAAAAAAAATTGTACTTTTATCTAATAATATTGTAAACAAATTTCATAAAATTAATATTTATTTATTTTAGATAATCACTATCTAATCCTTACTAATTCAAATGTAAATTAAGATAAATTAAATTTAGCTTGTCATATTTATTTATTTTATTATTCTAATCTAATGTCTATATTATATTTGGAAAAGGTTCAAATAATCCCTCAAACTATATGTAACATGGAAATTAGAGCCCAAATTATAAAATGTTTTAATTGAACCATTAAACTCATCATAAAAACAATGCAATATAATTAAATCATATTTACCTGTTTTTGCCGATAAAAGTTCGATTATTGTTGACTTAGATGTCCCATCACACTACTTTATATTTTTAGGTCACGATCTCTATATTATAGTGTTTTGTTTAATTTAGTCTTTATAATTTTATTTTGTTTAATTTAGTTTTTATACTTTTATTTTGTTCAATTTAGTTCATATACTTTAGAAAGTGGTACAATTAAATACAATAGTTAACGGTGTTAATATTATCGTTAACTTAGCTTATGTGACATTGGCATCATTACTGTCACATAATGATATTTATATTCCAACTCATATATTATTTTATAAATATTTAAAATTAATTATTTTAACCACCAATATATATTATTACATTAATATGTCTAAAATAAATAATTACAACCATGCTCCCAATGAGCTAGATTTGAACACTTGATGTCAACATGTTTGTAATTATTTATTTTGAACATATTAATGTAATATATTGGTGGTAAACATAATTAATTTAAAATATTTATAAAATAATATATGAGTGGAACATAAATATCATATATGATGTGACCGCGATGACATCAACGCCACGTAAGCTAAGTTAACGGTATTATTAACATCGATCATTAACTATTGTTCTTAATTGCACAACTTTTTAAAGTACATGGAGTGTACTAAATTGAATAAAATAAATGTATAAAGACTAAATTGAACAAAATACTATATTAGATGGACCTCATAGGTACTTTGACCATATTTTTATAATATATTTAAAATTTAAGTGACACTCAAAATGTTATTATTGTTAGGGCTGACATAGATTATTTATCCACAATTTTTAAAATAATTAAATTAAAAAATATTCCCCAAATTAAACGTCATCATATCGTTTAAGGATGCAATAAGAACTTTTTGTGGTTTATGGACTTAATTGTTATTTCACATATAGTTTGAGAGCTGACAATTTTCCTTAACTTTAATAAAAAATAATATTTTGAAAAAGAAAGAAAAGATATGATGAATACATGTATATAACGATAGTAATAGAAAAGATAACAAAATAAATTTGAGAGTATTTTTGTCTAATAAAATGTATTGTATAACTCTTATAACGTAATACACGAAATTAACGAAAAAAATAAATAAATAAAGAACACCAGCCTTCATTCTGTGTTATAAGAATTTATGATATAATTTGGTCATGATGTTAAGTGTGTTAATGTTATACTCATTAGTGTCTTTGTACGAGATTTTTTATGGTGTCAATAATACTTGATACAATAATATATACCATATTTGATTATATCGATATTATTAATACAAATATTAATAGTACGATGTACAATTTAATATATTATATTTATTATACTTGATGTTATTGGCATCGTAAAAAAAAATGACATTCTTATTAAATACTTGTCCATGGCAAGTTGGTAACATGTGTAACTACTAACTACCACTCAATTTTATGTGTAGGTTAACATTACTGTTTCGGTTTCTTTTACTATATTTTTCAATTGAGATATCTTATATTAATTGAAGACAGATTTTTACAGATAAAATTAGGTTATGCGATGAAAAGAATTAATAATTTTTGTGCGTTTGAATTCCAATTAACTTGTATGTTGCTTATGCCAAACTTGACACTCTGTATATAATATATAACATGCTTGAATTGGGTGGGGGTTTCTTGATGAAATAGTAAGATTTTGAATGGGAGGATTAAAATAGATATACACATACTGGCCCAATTACTATGTAGTATGATGATAAATCTAGTATATTCTCAATTACTATGTAGTATGATGACACATCTAGTATATTCCAAATGGGTAGTTATGAGATTGAAATCCGGTGGTAAACACATTTGGTAAGATAGTTTTGTCTATTTTTTTTAGGTGACGAGATAAATCCGCAATCACTATTCGAGGGTGTGCACCGGATATATAGACTGCCTTGTAACCCTAACCGGCAAAAGACCACAATGAAGTAAACCAGCCTAGATTGTCTATATCAAACCAGTTGTCCATAGCAAACCACACCTTGTGATCCTAACTAGCAAAAGACCACAATGAGGTAAACCTATCAAACCTGTTGCCCATAGTAAATTGACTCAAATCAAGAAGACCAATAGACTGCTCTCACTAGAAGTCGAACTTGTAACATTATAGCTATCAAGTTAACAGTCTGATCAACTTGGCTTGAATTGCTTCCTTTCTAGTGTGTCCATAGGCCAACCTTCCCTAATGCATCTATATATTCCGGCCGGCAATAAAAAATCACATTATTGTCTACTTATTAATTTCATTTTCACCTATTTAAGTCAATACCCTAAATTGGATGTGGATGACAGGTAACTCCAAACCTCCAATAATTCTCTCTGAAGTGTATACGTAATCTTATTTTTCTACATATGATGTTTTTATCCATAACAAGTGTTTGCTTGTACAATTATTTGTCTTACCTTTATTCCTCTTATGAAAAAGACCTCCATTCTTACCTAAATTCTATTTTGACTTCCTTGCCAATAAGAATCTTGCTTTTATACATGCATGCATATATTTAACTTCTTTTAAATATTGGCCAATTCCACACCAAAAATTTAAGGCAAAACACATCCAAATGGCTTATTCTCCCCCCTTCCCCAATGTGTGGGCATGGATTCAAAACCTCCCACCAATCACACAATGGAAAAATGACACTATTTCCATGTGCATTTGTTCATCATCTACTTCATACCAACCTAATTCCCTCAAGCTCTCCATAACCAAAACTCTCCACTCCTCCATGCACTTAACCATTTTTGTTGATTACCATCTCCCCATTGTTCTATGGACCTCAAAGCCAATACAACTCATCACCTCAAAGCCAACCACACAATCCATCTCCCATTTGTTAAACAACTTTGTCCAAGATGTCCTCAGCTACGGCCCCGCAAGAAGCCCTAGCAGGGTCGCTCTTAGGCTACCAAGACTAGACGACTCTAACACCATCCCAGACATCTTCAATGTGTCGTTTCTGACCCTCGCTTTCATCATATGCATCTACGAGTGCCCTCAGGAGCTTCGCGCTACCTGCATTCACACTCTGAAGGACCATCTCTCGTGCCCCCGGGCTAGGGCTGCATCGCCGCTACTAATGAGGCTGATGGGCTCAAACATGGAAGAGGAGTGGATGAGGTGTGTGAACCTTGCCATTACCAACTGGATTGTGGAGCTTCAGGCTGCTAGCAACGTTGGCCACACCATAATAACCACACCTTCACCTTTGTTTTCGTACTCGAATTCGTCTTTTGGGCTGTGGAAAGTTCAGTTGTACTGCCCTGTTATTGCCATGGAAGTTGAGAGCTCTAGTGGCCCTTCCCCTGATGACCATCTGCGCTTCTCCCTCAACTATCATCAATTTGAAGGTGTGATTCAACTCAACCACAAGGTTACCATTCGTGAGAATTGGATTGAAGTAATGGTGAACATTGATAACATTAGGTACGTACGTATATATAGTACATCCATCAATTTTCTCCGGCCATTTCTGATCTCACACAAAGGATGAGATGGTACTAATTGACCCGGGTGGTCTGAATCAAATAAGTCCACATAAATAAAAGGCAAAATCATAAAGACAAGATAAATATAGGTCTTGTTTGGTAAAATATTAGTCATCTATCAGTCAATTTTGGCTTATTTGATCATTATTAATTGTTTTACTTGTTAAAAAATCAACTCGAAAAAGCTTAAATTCAAAAACCTGCTCAAAGCAACTTTTTCAATTAACTTTTTGAGAAAAGAAATTATACCAAACAGATATTAGCTAACAGCTAATTTACTAAACACATTTCTAGAATCAGCTAATGTTATCAACTAGTTATACCCTCTAATTAACTCAATCAGCTAACAGCTATCAGCTACTAGCCATTTACCAAACAGGGCCATAGTAATATTCGTGTATTAATGCTTGGAAATATTACAAAGAGTGTGGGGTAATAAAATTGAGCTTGATCAATTGTTATACCATGGACCAGGATCCACCTTATTGAGTTATTGTAGACCCTGGTCCAAAAATCATGTTGTGCATTTAGTTAAAAATTATGTGTCTATAAATAAATTAAAGGCACATAATTTGTTAATTACAAACCCGTAATATGTTAACTGTGTCTAACATATTATGTGCCTTTAATTTATTTACAAACATATAATCTGTTAACGACAAACACATAATGTGTTAGCTACAAATACATAATTTGAATGTCATTTTGGATCAATGTCCACAATGCAACGTGGATCTTGATCCATGGTATAATTTGTTGAGCTTGATTGTCAAGGCCAAGGCAATACCAATTTATACAAAGAAAAGGGCCCAACAAACTCCTAAAAACGTGGTGGGCCGAGAGGCTAAGTCAAGGCCCACCATTTGGGCCCAGAGACGGGCTGCAGGATAGAAATAGCTAGTGGCCGTGGGTCGGCCTTGGGGGCATTTTCCCTCTGCTCGGATCTTGTCCTTTGGTCGGTGCCCCGGCCCTCCCCGCCTTGTTCGGAGCGTCCCTTGCCCCCTTAGCTCTCGGGTCATAGACTCTTCTTGGAGCCCAGGTCATGAATGTACTCTTTTTGGACTTCGGGTCGTGAGCTCTTGGACCCTGTGTCTCCATTCTTGGGTCATTTCGAATGTCTCTATAGAGAATGACTTTGTTTTGTTGATAGATAAGATAATCTTCAATATAATATAATATAATTCTCCATGCAATGCAATTCAAACATGCATGTAGGTGTGATGTGATGAGATTGTTGGATGAAAGTCTAATGAACGGAAGAGGAGCAGGGAAATCCGAGAAGCACTTCCCATCAAGAATATCCCTAAAGCTCACTCCCACCCTACAAACCAACATCATAAGCGTCTCAGTTCACAAATCCTCCGAAAACCCCACCACAGAAATAGGCATGGAAAAGACAGTGGAAGCCTCATTCGAGCCACCAAACCTGGGCCTGGGGCTAAGGGTTGCTGGAGGGGAAACAGTGGTGATGAGCTTAAAACCATGGAAATTCGAGCAATCCGTGAAGGGCGACAGCACGTATCTCAACTGGTTTCTACACGACAGCGTGGACGGCAGGGAAGTGTTCTCATCAAAGCCTTCAAAACTGGCATTGGTGCACCCCAAAGCATGGTTCAAGAACAGGTATTCAAGTGCACATAGGCCCTTCACGAAGCATGGAGGGGTGATCTTTGCTGGGGATGAGTATGGGGAGAAAGTGGTTTGGAAAGTGGACAAATGTGCTATGGGGAGAAGTATGGAGTGGGAGTTGAAAGGGTGGGTTTGGCTAACTTATTGGCCTAATAAACATAGGACATTTTATACTGAAACTAGGATGTCTAAATTCACTCAACTCCTTCATCTTACCCTTGTCTAGCTACGTACGTTTGACAGAGATGCATGCATGCATGCATATACATACATTGCATATATATAATTTCAGTTTCATGGTTGTTTGGATTGAATAAATTAAAGCATTCCTGCATGCATTATATTGATATGTACAGATGGAATATAATGATGAATTATTTGAGTTGCATTTGTGTAAATCAATTCAATGGCTTGATTACGTACAAAACTGATGCAAATCAACTCATCTCTTAATTCGTGGCGGTTACAAAATCGCCGCTAAATGCATTAAAAACCGCAACGAAATAAGTTTTCCATTAATTTCGGCCCGCAGTTGTTGAAAATCGCCGCTAAATCATTCGCGACACACTATTTAGCCACGATTGAATAACCGCCGGAAAACACAATGATGTAGTACTGTATCCTCAATCTGTTGTAATTGCATTTTAAGTTTAAAATCACCGTGGGCCAAAAAAATGTGTTGTGTTCCTGAACTTATATGAAAGATTATAAGGTGAAAAGTATACCACAAAATAGTTAAAAGTTACCAACTTAAAGGGGTTGATGCGAATTGTTAATGTTATTGTCTGTGGTAATTTATCGATATAATACTTTTGCTTTGAAAAAGCATCAATTGGGGGACGTGCCGGAGTGGTTATCGGGCATGACTAGAAATCATGTGGGCTTTGCCCGCGCAGGTTCGAATCCTGCCGTCCACGCAATTTTTACTTTTGATGCTAATACGCTCTGTCTGTGGTAATTTGTAAGTTTAAGTTAAAGAAGTTGATGTTTCGAAGGGGTATACGTTCGTGGACGTGCCGGAGTGGTTATCGGGCATGACTAGAAATCATGTGGGCTCTGCCCGCGCAGGTTCGAATCCTGCCGTCCACGCCATTTCACTTTTCCTTCGCTCAGAATTCAGACTCAAAGGTCTGTGTATTAGCCAGGTCATCTGACTCTGCAACGACTGATATAAACCAAATATATTCATTTAACCATTAAGGGATCATATTTCAACTCTTGAAATAATTAAATGACAAAAGTGTGATTTTCTCATCTATAAATAAAGATATATAAATATATCTAACTACTATAATAATAAGAGCTAAAAGAAATTTGGCCTATAATTGATATAAAAAATGTACGTCAAATTATTAAATGATGGGAAAATGATACTTTTCTCCCTATGTTGTTTGCTTATAGCACATTTTCCTCCGTGTGTTATTTATGTAACTACATTATTCCCCTCAATTATTTTTAAAGTGGCTATTTCTCCCCCTTTCCGTTAACTAAATATTTGGACTAGGGTGGGCACTTCGGTTCGATTTATCCGAACCGATCGGACCCGACCCGACCCGAATCGAAGCGAACTGAACTAGTAATAGAAAATCGAACGGTTCGAGATTTTATAACCCAAACGGTTTAGTACCGAACCGAACCGAACCGAATGCTATATAATTTTTTTAATAAATAATAATAATAATAATAATAATAATAATAATAATAATAATAATAATAATAATAAAAAATAAGTAAATCCAAGTTCTTTGATGTCTGCTCCGCCGTTCAGTTCTCTTTCTTACTTGTACCGAACCTTAAATCTTTTATTTGATTTCTTCATAGCTTGTTTTCCACTACAAGAAAAATTGCGAATCGCGACGGAATTTTTCCGTCACGAATGGGCAATATTCCGTCGCGAATCACGTTTTGCGACGGAATTTATTCCGTCGTCTATCGCCTTGTCGGATTTTGATAGACGACGGAATAGTTCCGTCGCAAATTTTGGCGACGATCTTCGCGACGGAATAGTTCCGTCGCCATTTTGCGACGGAATATTTCAGTCGCAATTCCGTCGCAAATGTTGCGACGGAACTGTTTCCATCGCAATTCCGTCGCTATTTCTGAACCGAATATTCCGTCGCCATATTATCTATTCCGTCGCCAATTCGGTAGCAAAAGAACACGACGGAAATATTTTCCGTCATGATTCCGTCGCATTGTTTCGAACAAATATTCCGTCACAAATCTTATATTCTGTCGCAATTCCGTTGTGTTTTTTGAATTATTTCAAAATAAAATTAGAATTTTTAAATAGTGATGAATGTTTTTAAAATATTAATATAAAAAATACTATTAATTCTAAAATAAAATATAACATAATTCTACATTAAGTTCAAGTAATAATACATTACCAATCCACATTTAATACATAATACCCAATAATTCAAGTCTAAACAACATAATAATACATCATCAATCTACATTTAATACATAATAATAGTCAATTCAAGTCTAAACAACATTGTAATAGTCCTAACAAACAACCATTAAAATCAATTGATTTGAAATGGAGGTGATGATGAAGTATCCGCTCTCCCGCCATCAATAGAATCAAGTCGTTGTTGCATAAGTGGAATAATAGCCTTCAAACTCTGAATTTTATCTTGTACACATTTGCAGAAGTAACATTGTCGGGTGATGGTGCGGGTATTGTCAAAAGTCTAGCTCCAAAACGACCTCCACGTGCTCTTGGCATCTTTCCTACAAAAATATGAAAGATTGCAACATTTGTGGTACAACATTACAGTGATGTTGGAATTCAAGCCCTCTCATTTCATCCTATCTCTTATATCATTTGTGGTACAACATTACAGTGATGTCTTAGAAGCATATTTAGTTTTCAAAAGTTGTGCAACTCTTTTGCTTGCCAACATAAATGTTTTTTCATCCCCAGTAACGCTTTGTATACACATCAACTTTGTATATAAATATGAAGGTTCTATTTTTCTTATACATTTTGTCCAAAAGCACTCACTTTGTATATATAAAATATGTGTAAAATTTATGACCAACAAAAAAATAATACTATAAAAATAGGTACCTGAGGAGTGTTGTACTCAATGAAGCAGTAGCCTAGGGTCTTCTAGTACTGGAATATATTTTGAGTGCACTAGCAATGACAGATTGTGTCCAGAAATTAATTATATAGTAATTGACACTTGTTCTTTTAATATCAACTATACAGATAGATGATTATTCATCTTATCAATAAAAATATTCCAACTGAACCAACTGAAGAGTCGGTTGTGCAAAAACGTTAACTGATGTTTGGTAATTAGTATTTAGTATTGTGTTTGAACTTTGGATTGCTATTTTGTTATATAATGTTTAGATTTTGAATTTGGATTATGTGAATATGTATTGTTTGGTAGTATGTTCGAAAAATTAGGAAATGTTGAAATTTGGGGATCTTAAACCGAACCGAATCCTAATGTTAAACCGAATGGTTTAACTTTTTTAAAACCGAAAAAACGAAACCGAAACGAAACTGAGAAAAATCGAACCGAAACCTGAAACGCCCACCCCTAGTTTGGATTGTTAAAAGTGAGGGTAAAAATTGTATTTCACTTTAAAATGGTAAAATAAGTGAAATACCATTTTTACCCTCACTTTTAACAGTCCAAACATTTAGTTAACGAAGAGGGGGAGAAATAGTCACTTTAAAAACAATTGAGGGGATACATTACACTCCTCCAAACAAGTGCTTTCTCTCCCTTTTTTGTCTGTAAAGGCCCTTCGACTCCATCCTCCAGCTGTTGGCTGACGCTATAATGGAGGGTTGAGTCGGTGGTGCCATTAGTAGACTCCATCCTCTGGCTGTTTTAGGAATAAGTGTTAGATCTCAGATGATCACCGATCGTTTTTTCAGATAAGGCGTCAAAGACTCTCCAGATCTGACAGGTTTTCTATCATCTTTTCCATTTATGTTGTTTTCTTTTGGTTCTACGTTATCCCTTTGTTCCTTTGACTAGTTTATTTTCTCTCGTCTCTCTGGTGAGTGTTTCCCTCTCGTTTCTTTGGCGAGTTTTCCTCTCGTTTCTTTGACTAGTTCTCCTCATAAGCGTGGAATGATAAAATGGTCACATCAGAGTCAGGCTTGACTATGTTTGACCAGATCTGTGAATAAGCACCGAGTTCATCCAACAAACTTCGGCTTCAAATTTATAAAACAGTCTGCAATCCAAGTTTTCTATAACATTACTAGAAAATTTGTTTCTATGTCTGACGGTAAAGAATGCACTGTCATTCTAACGATCTGTATTGTAAACATTTCTATTTATGATTAATGAATTAGCCTTTTATTTATAAAAAAATAAAACAATTGAGGGATAAAGTGGCTACATAAATAACAGAGAGAGAAATTGTGCTATAAGCAAACAACTCAGGGAGAAAAAGTGTCATTTCCCCTTATATGATTTCAATAAGAAATGTCTTAGGTTCGAACCTCATCACAATCAAAATTCTCTTAAAAATTATATTCTCTGTTGACTTATTCATTGATTTCAATAAGAAAGGTCTTAGGTTCAAATCCTATCCCAATCAAAGTTCGCATAATTAGTATTCTATTTTATTTTTATTAAATTAAATAATTTAGTAGCTACACAAAATAATACATATGCATTTCTTTAATTTAGAATTATGTGTCTACAATGCCTTTATTCAAAAAAATTATTCATTATCAATAAATTAAATAAGAGAAACAATTTCATTAATTATATTGTCTTTATTTTTCTCCAATGTAAAAATTCTTTACATTCAAATTCATCAATTGATTATATTCAATACATTGTCCCTACAATGCCTTTATTCAAAAAAAATATTATTCATTATCAATTAATTAATTAAGAAAAATAATTTGCTAACTACCATGTAGTGTGATGACATTTCGGTTATCCATCCAAGTAGATGGGCAAAGTTTTGAACCCCAGTGGTGGGGACTTAGATTTTTTGGGCTGAAAATGTTTGAGAAAGTATAGAATAGATACTACTTTGTAAAGAATCATAAGTATTTAAGAAAAATAATTTCATTATTTTTCTCCAATGTAAAAATTCTTTACATTTAAATTCATCAATTGATTATATTCACTACATAGTCCATTATCTTTTTTTTTTTAAACTATTTTTTTAATTAAATGTCAAAGTTATAATACAAAATAATGATATATATTTATTTACCAATTACCAAGTATTTTATTAATACCATGAAAAAAAAAAATTAAGTCAATCATATTAACTACTTGGGAATTTGTTGACAAAGAGAGTATTCAGATCACACAACAAATTGAAGTGGGAAACTACCTCGCAATGTCCTTGTTTGGCAATCAGCGGTTAGCGAATTTTGTTAGCAGTTAGCAAATAGCAGATTATATTAACTGGTTTGATATTGCATTGATATACTTTGAAATACTTATTTAAAAATAACCATTGGGCATTATCTTATTCGCACAAAGCGCTTTTAACTTGGAGGGTGTGGTTGAGTGGAAGGAACTCATCCATTGGTTAAGGGATCGATCTTTGACTTTGGAAATGGATTAGCCTTAAATCTCCAAGCTAGCTGTCTCCACATGATTTGAGAATTTTAGGCGGGAAGTTAAAGTTTAAAATTTTGTTTTTTATATGTTGTTAAATGCAAGAGGGCAGAGGTGCAGCTCTGATTCTCCTTTCTCATCTGCTTCGTCGTAGTCGTCATGTGTGAGGAGCTTCATTTGCAGGCTAATGTCACAGGACAATGAGTAATTTGTGCAGTGAAAAAATTAAAGGTTAAATTTGTATGTATATATTCAACTAAGAACGTACAAGTACAAACATAATACATGCATTTACACCATCACAACAATTCTAACAACTGGTGCAAGTGGAACACAAACTCTAGTATTACTTGTGGTCTTCATCCTTTTCATAATATAAATAATTGGTCGGACCATGACAACAGGAGAAAGTGACAAATTTATGCATATTGTGGTTACATTGAGAACAGGATACAGTCTCTGGAATTTTATCCAAATTAGATGAGAGATTGAGAGCACAACAAGAGTGTTGATTGGAAGAAGAAGAAGAAGTATTAAGCGTCTCATAGCAATCCTTAAATGCTTGTTCAAAATCATTGGCATGTGCATTGTTCTTCCATTTCTCATCGTACTCATTCAACACTCCTAACATTTTGTCTCCCACATCACATGCAATTATTCTTTTCCCTTTGCCCAACAAAGCCCATGATCCAATTGTTGTGCAATCATCTTCATAAGATAATAATTTTCCGAGCCCTTGCAGAATTTCATCGCTCCCTTGATCAAGTCCAACCTTATTTAAATATTGGATCCTAGATGAGGCCAAACTATAAAGTCGTGCCCAAAAGTGCTTAACCTCATTAAGGATAGGTATATATATATATATCTATATGCTCTGGTCATCTCTTCATTCATTTTTCTTCTTCTTCCAACATATATATATTCCATATCTATTTGAAATTTGGAACGAACTTCACGTAGCTTAGATACAAATTCTATAACTCGTTTAAAGTTATTGCCTCCGCATAAGAAAATGTACTTTTCATCATCATCAATCTGTTCAAAAGAAAAATACATAGAACAATATAATGTTTTAATAATGCTTAATTGAATGTTCATTTAATTTTTTTTTTTAAAAAAAAAAATTGCATACGGAGTAATAATTTTGTTTTAACTTTTAAGCATGAGGGGACATAGAAGCTAAGATAATTGAATTGTAGTGTATAGTATATATAGTAGGCTGTAGCATTCAAAAAAAAAAAATATAGTAGGCTGTAGGCATGTAGGCCGTAGTTGGATTGCACATTAATGGGGCAAATTATGCTGTGCATCTGCATACACCATGCATGGTGCATACGGATACAAAAACGACGTCGTTTTAATAAAACGCGCGTCTCCCCTTAAAAAAAAAAATCAGGTTCGATTCCCAGCAACAACATATGAACTAAAATTCCATAATCGATGAACTATAATTCCATAATCTAATCTATGAACTAAAAATTCCAGAATGAATGAACTAAAATTCCATAATCTATAAACTAAAATTTCAGAATCGATGAACTACAATTCCATAATCGATGAACTATAATTCCATAATCAATGAACTATAATTCCATAATCTATGAACTAAAATTCCAGAATGAATGAACAATATAATGTTGTTGCTGGGAATCGAACCTGAATATTTTTTAAAGGGGAGATGCGCGTTTTTTAATAAAACGACGTCGTTTTGGCATCCGTATGCACCATGCATGGTGCATACGGATGCACAGCATAACGATTGCATTAATGATTATATACTCAACATGCTCCCTCACGTGTGCGATGGGTTCTAAGCAACACGTGAATCTAAGCAACACGTGAATCGTTCCACGTAATCGCTGACCTTTGGTCTGGCTCTGATACTAAATTGAAGTATGTGTTCTATCTCAACTAAAAGTCTAAATTCGTAGTTGGAATGCACATTAATGATTATAGGCTCAACAAGCTTAGCTTATAGTTAATTCATTAGAATTGAAGTACAGTTGAGGATTCATAACTTACCCAACGGTGTAGCCTCCGCTCGAAGCCGCGCCACCATCCTACTACAAGCTCAAGATTCCAAGATTCTTTAATCCAAAGTTCTTGTTCTCTCTCACGCGTGTAATTGTATGAACGAAACTAATGAATAAAATATTATTGTATTTATATAAAATGGTTGAATTCTAAAATAATAAACTTTTTAGTGAATTTTTTTTAAAAAATAAATAAAGATAGACAGTGCATAATAATTCACTGCTGGAAATTATGAAATTTCTGACCACTTGAAAGTGATCTTAAATCAGGTCGAAAGTCTTGTTCCGACCATTTTTGGTATCCGGAAAAACCTTTGTTGCTATTTTCGACCACTTTTTGCTTTCGACTTGATTTAAGATCACTTTCAGGTGGTCGGAAATTCCATAATTTCCAGCAGTCATGTACATATAATAAACGAGTAAGAGTTTAATTATAAGATAGACATACCGAACTTTTCATCTTCGTGTCAATGTCGTTCATCCAATAATTGATCTTTTGGCGGACCTCTCTCGCGAAATTATATATTTGTTTGTCAATGTCATCAATCACACGGCCAGCACCAGAAGTCCTTTCCCTCAACTCATTTTCTAATGAAGGGATTATATCACCTGATATCATTGTTCTCCTTTGATAAAGTTGAATATCCCATGTGAATATCATGTGTAGTGCATTACAATGAACCAATCTTCCCCGTTTGTCCAGTGAAATGACAATAGGGTCGCCCCCAACTTGAAAAGTTGAGATACACTTGTCTTTAAGAAATCTTACAAATTCTGGTGCAATCCATTTTTGTGGATCCAATACAAAATAATTTTCGTAAACAGCTCGCATTTTTATATGCTCATCTTGATCATTTATAATTGGAACCCAAATCATCTTTACTCCTGTGCGCGACGCATAATATGCACAATAGGGGAAGTGTTTGCCGGATGATATTAGCAATAGCAATCCCTCCCCTTCAAACTCATCTAATCCCCCTGAATACTGTAAATATAAAAGATATTTGGAGGTCATCAAATCTAGTATTTCCCACGTACACATATATGATAATAATATAAGATAAGTAAGAACAAATGCTTATGCATACTCGCCACCCAGTTCGGACCAAAATTGGCTTCTCTTTATTATTTTTGATATTGAATATCAATTTAAGAACGTCCAAGATATTTGAAGAATTATCAAACGCATGTAACAACGTTTGATAATTTTCTTCTGCTCTTTTTGCCTCTGCATACACAAAACTATAATTAATCTCATTGCTAAATTATGATTTTTGGTAAAATCTATTTAATCAAACTACTGTAATTTTGGATTTAATTAATCATTTTAATTAGAAAAATTAAGGATTATTTGTTTGCGTAACAAAGTTTAACTTTTAGAGTCAATTTATAATAACTTCATATACACTAGAAATTATACATGAATTATAATCATAAACATTTCGTAACTAAATATTAAAGTAAAATATTAAGCCAACGTAACCTAGTAGTGGGAGGCTGGAAGCCAGAATCTCTTTGATTTTGGTGGATACATTGGACAGTTCCGTCATGATATGATTTTGTGGCCTGAAGAATAAGAGCAAGGCTAATTAATTAATTAAAAGCTAAGCAAACATCAATAAATCAATCTTCACTATACTTATTTGCGAATAGTTAATTAAACCCAATTTACACGTGTTGTTGTGCAATGTAAATTAATGCTTTGAAATATTTTTCAACTTTATTATATTGTATTAATGATTTATAGATTTTTATATGAGATATTACAACTAATTACTTATAATGATTATTGAAAAATTAGATTAAGGCATAATACATGTACTTTAATTTATACAAAGTTAAATCAAGTGGTCTTACTCGAGGCCCAAAATAAGTAGATGAGCGTAGGTAACAATACTTCTTGCGATCCAGTAGTTCGCCAAAAACATTGATGATGAATGTCGAAGCTCAACCATAAGCTTGGTGAGATCAAAAATGGATCTTATTGAGTCATTAAAAGAAATTTCATTGTCAGGGGATAGCATTGAGTTTAGACTATTTCTTAGAGCAGCCATGTTGTAGGATAGTCCTTTCCGATGACATGATTGTGAGGCAACTTTAGATTTTCCTCGGATGATCGCAAAACATGCGAGTAACATTACTCCCTTAGCATGCCACATATACTTTGACAACAAACTTAGTAGATAAATGGCAGTTGAGTGACTATCATCATAGCTTACACAAGTGAAGGCTATCTAAAAATGAGAATGAAATTTAAAAGAAAAAAGTCATCATTCAATTTGTACTCAATATAAAATTGTGTGATGAATGATTGGAAGATTTATATATACCATACCACGAAAGAGAGTTGTAAAACATCAAATGAAATCACCTTCTGGATGTGTTCTTGTAATTTGAACCTGTCTTGCATTGCTTTTTGAGGAACCTAAATTCATACTCCATTAACACAAAGCTAGTGTGATGAAAACAAGAATGAAACTATCTCTAAACAAGAATTGTAAGAACATTTAAGAAATCTCTCTTTGGCCTATGATTATACGATGTAAATTACTTGGTGACATTGATAATAATAGTATAAATTTGTATTAATTATATATGTGCTGCATTTAGGTAATTGTATGATAAAAAAATATACAATGCTTACTAAATCTATATATTTGTCAAGAAAAATTTTAAAAATAGTTCAATAAGTATATTGACAAACCGTATTGAAATTGAAAATATCATCTACAAATTTGAGAAGACAATTGGCATCAACATCTATGCCACCATTCGGATTATGCGTATCCTTGACTTGTTCCATGATGATCTTCTCTTCAACATGAGTCACTTGTGAAATCACTGTTCTTGATAGAGAAGCAGGTTGGGTTGTCATGTCTTGTAGGTAAGATAAGAAGAGAGAATTGACTCTTTGAAAAGGGAATAATTCAGGTTTACTTGGATTGGTTCTGGTAATGACAATGTAGCGGTTATATAATATAGAGATTAAAAATCTTGTGGAAGAATTAATTGAATTTGCTTCACGGTAAAAAAAAGAACCAAACTGAGGAATATAATCACCTATTTCATTTTTGGATTATTATATGAGAAGCCTGTCTTCTTGCTTACAAAACACAAAAGTAAAATAGAATAACTAAGGAGTTAAGGATAGTATTATTTTTTGTTTGGAAACATGTCCTGTCTCTTCATTTCCTTCCCTTACTTTTATTACTTATTCTTGAGAAATTAAAAAGAAAAAAAAAAACCAAACAAACAAACAAACTCCTTATGATCATCATATATATAATGCGGAGTACAAATTTTATTTTGTCTGGTCTACATACCAATTTAACAACAAAACGACGTCGTTTTGTTAAGTTGTTAAAAAAAATCATATGTTTCGAATGCACATAAACTCATAACAGAATACACATAAACTCATAACAGAATACATAATACACAAACTTTTAACAGAATACACATAATGGGATTTGGTTAACATAATACATATAAACTCTTAACTGACTACACATAAACTCATAACACAATACACATAAACTTTTAACTGAATACACATAATGGAGTTTGGTCTGTTCGGAAGGACGGAGTACGTCAGCAAGAAACGCGTGCGTTTTGTGCCTGAGCGCACATTGCTATGTGCGCCGTAGTGCACGATATAAATTGCCCCAATTTAATAGCTAAGCTTTTTGGAGGCTTGAACAACAAACAAAATTAAAAGAAGAAAAGAGCAATGGTAAAAGAATTAAAGATGGAGCTGAGGTAGATATAGCTTTATCTATCTAAAGGAGAACTCAGTGATGAAGTAAAGTATTATAATATTGATTTTGTGACCCAAATTAAACATGCAAACACTTTACAAGAATTTTTCTACTTTCCCTCATCAACTCCACTCTTCTATATATCATGTTCTTGATTTCTTGATAACTAATACACTATTACTACTACAAATAAAAAGTGCAACACATACAGATTCAGCTGCACTAGTTAAGCTAGTTGAACTTCATACCTCTCACATGGATTGTGAAAGGGAAAATTAAAGCATGGAATCAGTGTTATCTTCTCCGTATGGTATCAGCATGAGTATAATAAAGTGCACATATACTCACCAGAATTCACTATTGGAAATTATGAAATTTCCGACCACCTGAAATTGATCTTTAATCAAGTCGAAAGTCTTTATTCCGACCACTTTTGGTATTCGGAAAACCCTTTATTGCTATTTCCAACCATTTTTTACTTTCGACTTGATTTAAGATCACTTTCAGGTGGTCGGAAATTCCATAATTTCCAGTAGTGATTTTTAAGTAATCCAGGCCAGAAAGAAAGTTATGAAACTGTGAGTTGAACTTCTTCTTCTTCTTCTTCATCTTCTTCTCTTCCTGTTCCCTCCCAATTGCCCAGATTTAAATGTTCTTGAAGAAAAGCAAGCGCTTTCCCATACTTTTCAGACCATTCTTCTGCTAGGGATGCTTTCTCTTTCTCCTTCACCCCAAACAAGAAATGATTATCTTTACGAATTTCACGAGCAGCTCCTTTCCCTTCCTGTTTTACGCGTTTCTTTAACTTCCTCATCTCAGCCCGTTCACGATCTCTACCCTTAACAAAGCTGCACAATTCAATTCATCATTAGACAATCATATATATATGTCCATAAATGAATATAATAGTACCCAACCGGCCAATATATATAATGCAACATTATAAGTACTAAAGATTATTACTTGGTCTTTCAAATTTGGGATTAACCATCTTGATAGGCACAGGCTTTTGCTTCCTCATTCTTAGAGGTTGACGCAGCCTGTGATTTTCCTCAACTTTCCTTTCAATTAGTTGGATAACACTCTTGATTTTCTCCTGTAATATGATTCTGTGCTGCCAGTTCATTCAAAAGCTTTGCGATTGGCATGAATATTTCAGGAAAGGAATTAAATAAATCCTTCATAAATATTAATGAATCCTTGAATGGTCTCCATGATTGCTACGAGGATGCTGGCCCTGCATACAAGACCATCCATCAGATATCATTAAAGTCTGGCAGTCCAAGCTAAGGAGACAACAGAATGAAGAAATCACACTATGGAACATCTCAACCTCTTCCTGTGTGTACACATAATCAGGTGTGGCAAAGCCATCATCGACCGTAGTCTCTTGCGACTGCGGCTCACTCGCCTGACGAGCACGTGAGTTGTTGCCTGCACGCACATACGTAAAGGCTTAATGCACACACCAAACAACTAGCAAACAAATTCCTCCACTTCCTGAACCACCCATCCATCTCACACAAAAGAATAAATCTGGCACCAGGCCATTATGTAAGTGTAGCTAAAATCTAAACAAAAATAACTAATTATTTCGCAGCGGTTACAAAATTGTCGCTAAATGTACTAAAAACTGCCACGAAATAAGTTTTCCATTAATTCACGCAATTGTTGAAAACCGCCGCTAAATCATTTGCAACACACTATTTAGTCACGATTGAATAATCGCCGGGAAACACAATAGTAGCAATATGAAACCGCCGCTAAATCATTTGCGACACACTATTTAGTCACGATTGAATAACCGCTGGGAAACACAATAGTGGCAATATGAAACCGCCGCTAAATACCTTATTTGGTGTAGTATTGTGGCCTCAATCTGTTGTAATTGCATTTTAAGTTTAAAATCATCGTGCACTAAAAAATATGTTGTGTTCCTGAACTTATATGAAGGATTTTAAGGTGAAAAGTATACCATAAAATAGTTAAAAGTTACCAACTTAAAGGGATTGATGCTAATACGCTCTATCTGTGGTAATTTGTAAGTTTAGGGTTTAATTAGTTAATGTTTTGAAGTAACATATGTTTGTGGACGTGCCGGAGTGGTTACCGGGCATGACTAGAAATCATGTGGGCTTTGCCCGCGCAGGTTCGAATCCTGCCGTCCACGCATCTTTACTTCTCCTTCGCTCAGAGAGTCAGACTCAAAGGCCTGTGTATTATAGCCAGGCAGAAACGAATGAAAGATTAGCCAGGCCTCTGTATTATAGCCAGGCAGAAACGAATGAAAGATTAGCCACGACTGATATTAATACCAAGTATGATTTTCTCTTCTTTTTTAAATTTCAGACCGCTTCATTATATGAGTATATGTTCACAATTTTATTACTATATGTTCATAATGTCATAGCTCTATATTCATAATTCTATAACTGTACATTCATAATCCCATAACTGTACATTCATAATGGCACAAACGAATAACGCCGTTAACGGCGAGACAAAATCAAATCTTTTTTTAAAACTGGAATGATGCGTTTTCCCTGAAAACGACATCGTTTTGGACTCGTGTCCAAATGCATTGTGGACACGGGTCCAGGGCATAATTTGCGGGGTAGAAAAATAGCGGTCAAATTTTTTAATCAAATGAATAGCTCAGATTGATCTGTTAACTTTTCCGTTAAATATTATCCATTCTGTTAATTTCTATTAGTTCACTGTTAACTTACTCATTGATTTCAATAAGAAAGATCTTATGTTCGAACCCCATCCCAATTAAATTTGGCATAATTAGTATTCTATTTTACTCTTATTAAATTAAATAATAATTTGGTAGCTACAACAAAAAATAATACATATGCATTTTTTTAATTTAGAATTATGTCTACAATGCCTTTATTCAAAAAAAAAAATTATTCATTATCAATAAAATTTTTTTTGAAAACCATTATCAATAAATTAATTAAGAGAAATAATTTTATTAGTTATATTGTCTTTATTTTTCTCCAATGTAAAAATTCTTTACATTCAAATTCATCAATTGATTATATTCACTACATTGTCTATTATCTTTTTTATGCACTATTTTTAATTAAATATCAAAGTTATAATACAAAATAATGTTATATATTTATTTACCAAGTATTTTATTAATACCATGAAAATTTTAAATTAATAAAGTCAATCATATTAACTA